CCAACAACAGTTTTTTCATGGTGTTTATGAGTTTTGTTCTTTACTCCAGTGGTCTCCAAAAGTGTAATGAATCATTGAGGGAAAGAAAATTCGTTAATGTTTCCCCTCTTTCCTTCCTTCCTTCCTTCCTTCCTTCCTTCCTTCCTTCCTTCTTTCCTTCTGATTTTCCTACTTTTATCTGAAAGGCTGAGGAAATATGAGTCTTTCTAGTATTTAATTTGTGGGTAAACACAGGGCCTATATCACTATGTTGCATCTCAGAAAGTCATGTCGCCTATGGCATATGAGGACTCTAGTAATGAGAAGGAGCCTCATATTCTGGTTCTCTATCTGTATTATAACCAATTTCAGTTTACTGTGCCTAGTTAACTGCTTTGAGGATATTATATTTTAATAGCTGACTCAGAAAATGGGTAAGTAGCCAGGCATGGTAGCACATACCTGTAATTCCAAGCCCTTAGGAAACTGAGGAAGGGGGTTTCTGTTGCTGTAGATAAAACACCATGACCAAGGCAACTTATAGAAGAGTTTATTTGTCTTATCGTTCCAGTGGGATAAGAACCTGTTTTGGTGGGGAGGCATGGCAGCAGAGGTGGCGAGTAGAAAGCTGAGTGCTCACATCTTCAGGAGGACACAAGAAGCAGAAAGAGTAAGCTGGAAGTGGGGCAAAGCTATGAGCTCTCAAAGCCTGCCCCCCAGTAATGACATGCTTCCTCCAGCAAAACCATACCTCCTGAAGGTTTCATGACCCTCCCCAAACTGACCAAGTTCAAGTACTTGAGCCTACAGAAGATACTCCTCAGTCAAAACTTCTCAGTTAGACCACAATGGAGGCATTGTGAATTTTAAGCCAACCTTAGTTACATAGCAGTACTCTTGTTTAAAAACAAAACCAAAAACATAGTAACTTTTATAAATATAAAGAATGGTGCTCTTTTCAGTTTTTTTTTTCCATGAATACTAAAGACTAAAGTATTGAGTTGATAAGTTCCTGACAAATGACCTGAAATTTGTTGTGCCTATTCCCTAGGGTTTCTTGATGTCACGATTGTACTAATTTCTTTTATTTGCTGAGCGACTAACTACATGGAAAGTCAAAAAAAATGACTGAAAAATGAAAGGGGTGGAGTGCAATGCAGTGATGGTGTGTTTTAGGGCAGGATAAAAAAAAAAAAAATAGCTGACTTAGCTCTTGAAAAGACATGTTTAATTCATTTCTCCTCCAGTAAAACAGCTCTTGGGAGTTCTGCATGCCACCCTGTTTGTTTCCCTGCCACATCTATAAAAACTCAAGCTTTCTAGTTACCTGCTAGATGCAATCCCTTTTCAAAATGGGACATAGAGGCATGTTTGTTTTCTAATGTAAAATTAAAAATTTACTACTCCAGTTGTGCCTTCTTCACACGCAAGTCAAAGTCATTCAGTTAGACTGGGCCAGGCGTAGTGGTACACATTGATGCAGGAGGATCAAGAATGTAAGGCTCACCGAGCCTACATAATGAGTTCAAGGCAAGCCTGGGCTCTGAAACTGTCTCATTTGAAAACTGCCACCAAATGCACGTGTGTGCCACACTCATACATGTATATATATGTATATATAGTAGATTGTATTGACAGAAACATGCTCAAGTAGTCCTGTTGCTGTGTTGATTCTGTACATGTATGTACATATATGCATTCATACATACATTCTACTAGCAAGTTTTATGGTTAGCTCTTCTTTTTTTTTTTTTTGGTTTTTTTGAGACAGGGTCTCCCTGTAACCCCAGCTGTCCTCCCCAGCTGTCCTGGATTCACCATGGAGACCAGGCTGGCCTCAGATTCACAGAGATCTGTCTGCTTCTGCCTCCCGAGTGCTGGGATTAAAGGCGTGCACCACCACGCCCGGCTGGTTAGCTCTTTCTTACAAATGGTATTTTAATTGTCTAGATGTTTTTCTGAGTTCACTCATTTCTACAAGTAGAGATAGGTAATGGCATACATTTCAGTGTATAGAAAGAACCAAATTATCCAAAATTTAAAGAATAAAGAGTTATCTGGTACTAATAAGGACGAAAGAAAACTATCTTGACTCGCCAGCCAGCCCTGAGCAGAGGATCCTTGCCCACATTCTAGCATCTTTCTGAAAAGAAACTAGTATGGAATTCAGTCCTTAAGAGTGGGGTAGCAGGCCAGAGAGATGGCCCAACACATAAAGGCACTTGTCACCAAACCTGGGTTTGATTCCCAGGATCCACATGGTAGAAGGCAAGAGCTAATTTACACAGGCCATCCAACTTCCACACAAATATAAAGTAGCCATGTCTAACATATCTAATAAGTGACTTGAAGAAGGCTCTCTGCTAACAGAAGATCCAGAGGACCATTAAAGGCCTTTATAATGGAAGTCAAAGGGGGTAAGAATAGAGAGCCAATGAGATTGGGAACAGAGCAGGAAGGTTAGAGCTGTAGTTGTCTCTCCACAGTAATTAGACGGCTAATGCAAGGGGCCAGTGAGGTGACTCAGCAGGTAAAAACTGCTGAGTTCAATCTCTGGGACCCACATACAGGTAGATGAGAACTGACTCCACGAAATTGTCCTTTGACTTTCTCACATGTACACACACGAAATTGTCCTTTGACTTTCTCACATGTACACACAAGCATAACACAGTTATTTTTAAAGGGTGGGGTAAGGCAAGAGAACTGTAGTTTGAGTGGGAAAGTTCAGAGAACCACCAAATGCCTTTTCAGCAGAGTCAGAAGGACATACAGCGGGGCTGGAGAGATGGTTTAGTGGTCAAGAACACTGGCTGTTCTTGCAGAAGACCCAGGTTCGAATCCCAGCACCCACATGGCAGCTCACAGCTGTCCGTAGCTCCAGTTCCAGGGAATCTGACAGCTTCTTCTGTCCTCCGCAGACATTGCACGGCATGGGTGCACTTACCTACATGCAGGCAAAACACACATACACATAAAAATAAATATTTTTTTAAAGGTGGGGGGGGGACATACAGCAAGAGAGCCAAGGAGCTTGGAGACGGAGCAGGAAGGTTGGAATATAGCTGGAGTGAGGCTGTCTACACTGATCAGTTAGGAGGAGGAGGAGGAGGGGGAGGGGGAGGGGGAGGAGAAAGAGAAAGAGAAAGAGAAAGAGAAAGCCTTCCTTTTGGAGGCTGTTAAAATAAGCCCTGAATCTTCTACACAGACATCAGATCAACTCATTCAAACGGATGAAGCAGCTGATATGAAGCCATGCTGAAGACAGATCGAGTGACCCTGCACTGTCAATGTTAGGAAACACTTTTAGCAGTAAACCGAAGCCTCAGATCCTTCAGGTTCAGAGATGGCTAGCTACTTTTTCATTTACAAATTGTGATTTTTCTTCTTTAGCTTCATATTGGTGATAGCTCTGGTGCAGGAAACTTAAGAGAGTGAAAAGCTGTATGTACTTGTGTGTACTGAATTCTTTTTTTCTTGTTGTGGGAGTTTTTTTGGGGCGGGGATTGGTCTTTTTGAGACAGGGTCTCCCTGTAACCTCTGCTGGCCTGGAACTCACTATGTAGACCAGGTTGGCCTTGAACTCACAAAGATCCTCCTGCCTCTGCCTCCCAAATGCAGGGACTAAAGGCAAGTGCCACCACACCTGGCCTGGCCCTTGAATTCTTTCTAAAATAGTTGGTGACAAGTGGGCGTGGTGGTGCATGCCTGTAGTCCCAGCATCTGGGAGGCAGAGGCAGGCAGATCTCTGTGAGTTCAAGGCCAGCCTGGTCTACATAGTGAGTTCCAGCGGGGGCTAGGGGGACCCTGCTTAAAAAAAAAAAAAAAAAAAAAAAAAAAAGTTGGTGACAGTTCTAGGCAGTGCAGCCTTAACCCTTTGAAACCCTGAGTAAATGGTCTTAAAGTAGACTGTAGCATCCTCTGGTATAAAAGCACCATTGAGTATCTAGGATGTCTAGTAGCACCTTAACTACTGACATGTCTGTAGCAGGATGAATAGAATCATCCCATGAAAACTAAATCCCATTCTTTTCACTGGATGTGTTGCCCATTCAGTCATATGAGTGTGCACAAAAGTAAAACCAGTTCATTTTGTGTGGAAATCATCATTTCAAATTACACCTTTTCTTCTTGGGTTATATACTAGACATCAAAAAATAATTGGATGTGCCAGGCGTGGTGGTGCATGCCTTTAGTCCCAGCACTTGGGAGGCAGAGGCAGGTGGATCTCTGAGTCCAAGGCCAGCCTGGTCTACATAGTGAGTTCCAGGACAGCTGGGGCTACATGGAAACCCTGTCTCAAAAAAAAAAAAAAAAAAAAAAAAGGATGTTTAATAGGAAACTTTATAAAATTTTCTTTCACAATTTGAGTGTCTGGTGTTGAGAATTGAAGTTTTTTAAAGAATAGATAGCATAAGAGATGTATTCATTTTATACTTTTATATTAAGCTTTACATAGACATTCTTTTAAGTGTGAGTATGTAGTCCTGGAGGTTATCTATCATAAACCTAGAGGCAAGGTATGCACAGGAGCTTTAGGCAATGAAGGTGTAATTGTAAAGCAGCATCCTTATGGCTTAGTACCTTGAAATATTTTCAGTTGACTTTTTTCTTCTATTATTTAATTCCATTACATAACAGTAATTGTATTTATTGAAGCCACTGGGTTTTTTTTTTTTTATTATAGGAAATGCTGATCTTAGTGAATCTCAAGTATAGGGAGGTAAAGGTTCTTTAATAATTCAAAGACTGCTACTTTTCACAATTCACTTGGTCCCATTGCCTTTTATGTCCCAAATATCTTAAAGATGATCACTAAATTGTGGCATCTAAAAAAATTAATTTCTTTAAAGAAATCTCACGAAATATGCTGCATAATAGCTTGCTCTGAATCATTTAAGAGGCTGACTTGATCGAAGCTTTCTGCTATATTAACAGTTTGACATATTCTTCTGCTTAAATATCAAATGAGTTCTGACACCTCCAATGAGATTATTAAAGTTGGGGATTTCTTTTAACAGCATCAACAAAGAAAGCATCGTTGATGTAGAAGGCATTGTGAGAAAAGTAAATCAGAAAATTGGAAGTTGTACACAGCAAGATGTTGAATTACATGTTCAAAAGGTAATGTGTTACAAAATATAACATCAGGCTGGAGAGATGGCTTAGAGGTTAAGAACACTGACTGTTCCTTATGTTGTGATATTAACATCATATCTTGCAGACAAGAATTGGAAAGGTTATGGTTTAATAGTGATGTGTTTGTGTGTCAAGTTGACAAGGGATCAATTGTGCTGGATAGCTTTAGTGTCAACTTGATATACCTGGTTTGAGGGAACCTCAATTGGGGAATTGCCTCCATTGAACTAGCCTGTGGCCATGTCTGTGGGGCTTCTTGATTATTGTGTGATGTGGGAGGGCCCAGCCCACTGTGGGTGCTGCCACCCCTGTGCAGGTAGGCCTCTGTTGCATAAGAAAGCAAGCTGAGCAGGGACCAGGGGAGCAAGCCAATAAGCAGTGTTCCTCCATGGCCTGTGCTCCAGCTCCTGCCTCCAGGTTCCTGCCTTGAGTTCCAGCCTTGGGCTCCTTGATGAACTATGATCTGGGAGATGTAAGACAAATAAACCCTCTCCTCACCCACCACCCACTCCCACCCACTGACTATTCTTGCAGAAGACCCGGGTTCAAATCCCAGCACCCACAAGGCAACTAACAACTGTCCATAACTCCAGTTCCAGGGGATCCAATAGCCTCTTCTGTCCTCCATGGGCATTGCATGACACAGGTGCACTTACCTACATGCAGGGATAATACTCATACACATAAAATAAAAATAATAAATAAAATGTTTAAAAAGAAAAAAAACAAAATATAATATCATGCCAGGTCTGGCAGTGCATGCCTTTAATTGTAGCACTCAGAAGATAGAAGCAGGCCAGTGTCTGAGTTTGAAGCCAGCCTGGCCTACATATATAGAGAGTTCTAGGCCAGTCAGGGCTACATAGTGAAATGTTATCTTTAAAAAATAAATAAATAAATAAATAAATAAATAAATAAATAAATAAATATATTGATTTCTCTACTCCTGAAAGCAGAGAAGAATTGAAGCTTAAAAATACATATGTGGGGGTCGGGGGAGAAAGAGAGAATTATATTATGAATTTGAGTGATTCTTAGGACTTTCCATGTTGAATCTGTATATTCTTAATAATTTGTATTTATATAAAATACTGAGGTTTATAAGTTAATTACTGAATCAGTTAGCTTATGCTGTGCATTAGTTACTTTTCTGTTGCTGTGAGAGAAACACCGACCAAAGCAGTTTATAGAAGGAAGAGTTTATTTGAGATTATGGTTCCAGTCTGAGAATTACAGTCTGTCTTGGCAGGGAGGCATGGTGGCAGAGGTAGCTGGAGGAGGCATGGAAGCTAAGCTCTCACATCTTCAAGCAGGCACAGGAAACAAGGGAGCGACTGGAAATCTGGCAATACTTAAGGAGTCTCTAAGCCCACCCCCAGTGATGTGTTTCCTCCAGCATGGCCCCACCTTCTAAGACCTCCCAAACTGCACCACCAACTGGGAACAAAATGTCCTATGGGGGACATTCTCAGTCAAGCCAGCACATGCTGTATAACAAATTCAGTATTTAGTGACTTAGAATGACAGAGGCCCATCTTAGCAGGCTTACCTGATCCACACAGCATTGACTAGGCTCATTGGTCTATTAGTGGTATATCTTCTAGTGGCCTCTCCTTACCCAGAAGGCAACTCAGACCTGTTGATATATAACACTAGGACAGCTGACCATCTTTAAAAAACAAAAACAAAACTCATCTCTCATCTATTATATTTTCAGGCATAAAAACTAAGAATATAAGAATATCATTAACTAAAAATACCATAAGTAAATTCTCAAGTATTTAGTGCTATTGAAATGATCCTGGAACTTTGAACCTATAGCACACAGATTTGTATCTAATTGTATCTATAATACACATCATTAAATTTTTGTTAAGAAATAGTCTAAGCTGGACATAGTGGTGCACACCTTTAATCCCAGCACTCAGAGGCAGAGGCAGGCAGAGCTTTCTGAGATTCAGACCAGAAGTAGTCTTGGGGGCTGGAGAGGTGGCTCAGCAGTTAAGAACACTGAATGTTCTTACAGAAGACCTGGGTTCGAATCCCAGCATCCACATGGCAGCCAACAACTGTCCATAACTCCAGTTCCAGGGGATCTGACGGCCTCTTCTGTCCTCTGTGGGCATTGCACGACATGGGTGCACTTACCTGCATGCAGACAATACACACATACACATAAAAATAATAAAATAAAATAATTTTTTTAAAAAGTAGTAGTCTAAGGACTGGTGAGGTAGCTCAACAGGAAAAGGTACTTACTAGCCTGAGTTTGATTCCTGGGACTCATGTTGTAGAAGGAGAGAACTGTCTCAGGCAAGTTGTCCTCTGACCCTCCACACGTGACTGTGACTTGCGTGCTTACACACAACACACATGCGCACATACACACACACACACACACATATATATATATATACACACCCAAGGCAGGAAAGGGAGAGGGTACATAGAGAAGAAAGACAAGTGATCAGCAAATGGATTAAGAGAGATCAGCCCATTCATACCCACTGATTTGAGAGTAAGGTTGTGTTTAATAGGAATCAGTTGTTATGGAACTCTGCAACATAGAAAAATCTATTTTTGGTGAACTGACGTGACAGATTACTTGGTTCTTTGTTTGAGTTTACTAAAGAAGTTCATTTATGCTGACCAAAAATATCCCCTTTGAACTAACATGTTCTTCAGTATTTTAATAAATAAGTCCTTAATGACTAAAACAAATATATGTACTTTTAATATTCTTACTGGGCAGGATATAGCTCAGTACCAGAGCACTTGCCTACCATGCATTTCCAGCATGCATTGCAACATTAAAAGGGTCATTAGTAAATACAGCGCCTAAAGAACTTACAGACAAGTTTTGGTATTTCACAAAATGTGAAATTACACCATAAGTATTCCACTGTCTCTTGTTTATTTATTCAACCATCAGATACTTGTTATATTTTATGCCAAGTACTATATGATCTTCAACCTAATGAAGAGGAGGATGAATTTCCACTGGTTTTGAAAATTGTAGCTCTTAAGTTCTCCAATTTTGGATTTAAAGGTCAAGTTTTTGTTATCAAAGGGAACCTAAAACTTGGGTATAGGGAGCCATGACAGACAATTCTGTTTGACTTTGGGGGCACCTGAGTAAAGCCTTCTGACCGTCCCTGAATGCTGTATGATCTGCAAACTGAGACCATATGATTTTTTTCCTGACTTAACTAAATAAAGGTTTTATCCCTTTTTTAAAGTATGCAAAACACCCCAGCTCAGCTTTTAATAGTTAATTGATTATTTTTCACTAAAACTTGAAATTAGTATGTGTATTAACAGATTTTAACAGCATAAAAGAACACTCTCTGTGGCAGCTCTTGACCCAGGAGAACAATAGGAAATAAGGTGTGATATTTAATGAGAGGAAGCAATGAAGGTAGACTTTAAAGTATGAGAACAGAAAGGAGGTTATTGCAGAGCTAAACTGAAGTTAGTCCTAGAGGAAGCAGTGGCTGAATGCTGCTAGCAATAATAGCAACTCCTGTGTTAATGATTTGATTCTTAATGGCAGACCCCATTTTAATTAAAGCTTTGAGATTGATTTCCCTAATGGCAGCTTTTATTGGCAATGCTAGGCCTTGATTATTTATTACATTGGATGAACCAAGGGTTTATAAAGTATTTGTATGTATTATCCTGTTTGACTTCAAACAATGCATAAAGGCAGCAATATTATCCCCATTCTGTGGATGAAAAATGGATATTATCTTGTTTGATTTCACCAAGTGATTTCAATTAAAAATGTATGCAAACATTTCTTTATGTAGATTGTCTTTTAAGCAAAGGATAACCAGGTTTTGTATACTTCCTAATATTTTTGACAATTTCTCACTTTCAGATTTATGTGATCAGTTTGGCTGAACCTCGCCTGCCCCTGCAGCTGGATGATGCCATTCGGCCTGAGGTAGAAGAGGTAAAGTTGATGTCATGCTTTGTGCTTGCTCTAGGTATTTAATTTGCGAAACAGTGGAAGCTCGTTGTCCTACTTTATATTAAATGTATGTGTGAATTGATTTGAACTCCATTTGTATTTAAACTTACTAGCGCTAGGGATATAGCTCAGTGCTAGAGGACTTCTCTAGCATGCAAGAGGCTCTAGATTCAATTACTCTGACATCAGCAAATCTCAGATTTTTTTAAAAAAATATTTTTATTGAGTTTTTGTGCATTTCGTATAATAGATCTTAATCAAATTTAGAGCTCCTCCCCATCTGTGCCCCTCATAGCTCCCTCTCCCCCACTGGATTTCATGTATTCTGTCATTATAGCCAGATAGGACTTAACATATAATGGGACAAGCATTTGTACCCAGATGTCCCTCAGTGCAAGTTTATCTACTGGTGTCTAGTTAGCCTATCTAGAGTCACTCCCTTAAAGAAGAGCTACTCTCCTCACTTCACAGTAATCAGTTGCCAATAGTTCCTCAGAGTTGGGGCTTGCTGCCCATTTCTCTAGTTCTATGCTGGGTTTTTGTCTGATTGAGTTGATATGAATTTTGTGCATATTGTTACCATTGTTACAAGTTCATATGAGCAAGTTCCCAGAGGCCTGAAAGCCTGTTTCCTTATATTCTTAATCAAATTTAGACCCCTTCCCTTATCTGGCTCTTATGGTCTTTCTGCCCCCTCTTCCACAATGATCCTGAGCCATGCATGAGTAAGTGAAGTTTAATACAGGAGTCACACACTCTGCAGTCTCCTGCATTCATTGTACTCCATTGTATGAGGGATATATTAGTATTCTCTCTACCCCCTGTTCTGCTGTGTTCCATGAGCCTTAGGTATCCAGGTTCCACTGTAGATGTGTCACTTAGGGCTGGGCATCTCTCAGACATGTATTCTCTGTGACCAGTTGTGGAATTCTGTAATAACCTCTATCTATTGCAAAATGAAGCTTTTTTGATGAGTGGTGTATGGTGTACTTGTCAGGGTATTACAGTGATCTGTGGCAGGCAGATCAGGCCAAGGGCAAAGTGAGGGGTGGGGACAGCCTGTGGAGGGTCTAACAAACTAAGCTGGAAGATGAAGCTAGTCTGGATTAGGGAGCTTGTTCAGAGATCTGAGACTGAAAAGCAGGAGCAGGTCTGGGCCCAAGGCTAGAAGGGAGATAGATTGTGGGAAGAGAGTAGAGTTATTCAGGCTGCAGGCACAGTACTTTTTTTTTAATGTGTATCAGTGTATTGCCTGCATGTATATATGTGCACCCATGTCATGCAATGCCTAGAGGTCAGAAGAGGGCATTGGATCCCCTGTAACTGGAGTTAAAGATGGTTGTTAACCCCCCCATGTGGATGTCAAACCTGGGTCCTCTGCAAGAGCAGCCAGCACTCTTAACCTCTGAGCCATCTTTCCAGCCCTGGAATCTCGGACTTTTTAGGCTATTAATTTATTGAAAATAATGCTATAAAGCCAGCCATGCTGGTACACACCCTTAATCCCAACACTTGGGAGGCAGAGGCAGAGAGATCTCCATGAGATCAAGGCCAGCCTGGTGTTCATAATGAGTTCCTGTCTCAAAAAATAAAAAGGACTTCTAAGAGTGGTATGTGTGTATATATATTTCAGAAAGTGAATAAAATCTGTTTGTAACTCCCCCACCACCACCACCACTTTTTTTTTTTTTTAGGAAGGAAGAGCTACTGTTAACCAAGATACAAGATTAGACAACAGAGTCATTGATCTTAGGGTATGCCTCATTTATTTGTTGATGTGGGTATGCCAACATTGAGATTCTCAGGGATACCATAATGCTGATTGCCACTTGCCTATGTGTGAGTATAATAATGTAAGACATAGTCTGCCTTTCTGACTGAGTCCTTCCCCAGAAAGAACTGCCAGGTAGGTGTTGCAGGTGAGTACTAGTCCATAGCATACTGACATGCTTTATTTGAAAACTGTAGATTATGAGTTGCATCCAGGTGATGTCTGTTTTGGAGTAGCTTAGTCAGCAAATGGAAATGCAACCATCAATATCACTAGAAAATGTGAAAGAAATTCTTTGTAAAATTTAGAACAACCAGGTGGAGATGATGTATCATAACGAAGAAGTCACCATCCCTTGTGGTTTACATGGTCATCTCATGGATCTTCTGTTTTCTCTTTTGGTTTGGTTGATTTTTATCACTGTAGTAAAAATATCTTCTTAATGTTTGACCATGTCTTCCTCCTTCATTTAAATACCTCTCACTCAAAGGCAAAGGCCACTTCAAGTTCTTTCTGACTTCCAGTTTTCTGCAGTTGTATGAATATCCCTTTATAATACACTCAGCATTTCTCCTGTTTGTTTTCTGTCTGCTTTACCGTCTCCATTTTCATTTATGTTGAAAAAAGCAAACTGTAATCAAACATCCTCCTGATACTGCCTAAAACCCTAAGGTTTTTTATTTATTTTTAGACATCATGCTGTATTTGACCATGCTACTTGTTCACTGCTACTGGCTTGTGCTACAATTCAGCCCAGAGAAATTTTGGTTCTCTTGGTGTTGGTATTTTAGTTAAATTTATTGCCATCATTGAACAATGGGGATTTTGCTAGATGTGATCACATAGACTGGTGATCCTAGCTATCTTCAAGGCTGAGGCAGGAGGATCACTTAAACCCAAGAGCTGGCCAGGCTAAGTGGCACACACCTGTAATCCCAGCATTGGAGAGGCTAAGGCAGGAAAGTTGAAAGTCAGTCTAGGTTACATATGCATTAAAAGGTCAGCCTTAACTACAGTATCAAAAACAAAAGGAAAAGGAGTTGGAAGCCATCTTGAACAAAATAGTGTGATCCTGTGGGAAGAGAAGGAGGGGAGGATTTTCATATTAAAATCTAGGTGACTTTTCTTGGAAAGTTGGAGAACCCAGTAATACTGGGCCCATATAGCCTGGAGTGCTAGGGGTCTATGAGTGCTAGATGGAGTATGTGTCCTTGTGTTGTCCTAAGCAACAGTTATTTGTTTTATTCATTTTATTTATCTGGTTCTTGTAAACTTTAAAAAAAAAATTTATTCTATGTGTATGAGCGTTTTTCCTACAAATATGTAAGTGTAGCATGGGCATGCGATGCCCACAGAGGCCAGAAGAGGGTGTCCTCTTCTGACCTCCATAGCATTGCACGACACGGGTGCACTCACATACATGCAGGCAATACACTCATACACATAAAAGAAGTAAAATTAAAAAAAAATAAAACATGTATTGTGTTAACACTACCCACCCCCACACACACACTTGATTTGCAGTTGCCAAGGGACATGGGCCCAGGACAATTCAGGATTCACAGGCAGCCCAAACCTTCGAAAACCCTATGGGCTTTCTTCATCCACACTTTGCCCACCATTCTTTTCTCTTGAAAACAGTAAACCCCTTAAATAAAGGGAAGCCCATTCCCCTATATCCATCATCCATGGCAAATACCTGCATCAGTCAGTGGAATACTCTATTCCTAAAGAGCTTAAATGAGCTATACAATGCTCCATCCAGCCTCCATTAATCTGTTGGAAATAAATCTATTTGCTATCTCTTCCTAAAATGTTCATTAACAAAGCAATGGAATCGCAGAACACTTATAGAACAATTATACAATTTGTATTCAAGTGCCCATTTTCTATTTCATTACTTCATCTTTTTTCCCAAATGAAAAATTTTAAAGCTGAAACTTCTAAATGAAAACATAAGGAATATTCTCCCAGACATTAGGATAGGCAGGAACTTTTTGAACAGGCCATCAATAGCACAGGAATTAGTCCCAAGTATGAACAGATAGGATTACATGATATTAAAGTTTCTGTACAGCAAAGGAAACTATTAGCAGAGCACACAGCCCACAGAATCGTGTTCTCAACATCCCTAGTCAGGGAAATACAAATTAGAACTACTTTGAGATACCACCTCACCCCATTCAGAATGGCTATCAAGAAATTCAATAAGAGGACTGGAGAGATGGCTCAGCGGTTAAGAACACTGGTTGTTCCTGCAGAAGACCCAGGTTCAAATCCCAGCACCCACATGGCAGCTAACAACTGTCCGTAACTCCAATCCCAGGGGATCAGACAGCCTCTTCTGACCTCCATGGGCATTGCACGACATGGGCGCACTTACCTACATGTAGGCAATACACGCATACACATAAAATAAAGTTAATAAAATATTTTTTAAAAAAGAAATCCAACAAGAAACATTAATGAAGATGTGGAGAAAGAGGAATTGATTGCTGGTGGGAGTGCAAATTATTACAGCCATTGTGGAAATTGGTTTGGATTTTCCTCAAAAAATTTAAAATAGAGCTACCATATGTTCCAACTATCTCACTCCTGGTAGATACACAGAGAGCTCCATTTTTTTTTTTTTTGATTGGGGAGGATGAACCAGGGTCTCTCCATAGCCTCAACTATCCTGGAACTCACTATGTAGACCAGGCTGGCCTGTCTTCCTGCCTCTGCCTCTAGAGATTAAAGGTGTGCACCACCTTGCCCTCCTATCTAATTCTTAACTGCATAGGAGCCGATTATAGTCATCACTATGGGATAGTGAAGCAGCTTCAAAATTAGTCTGTATTTTAGAAAGAAAGCAAACATATTTGAATCTCTTTATATTCTACTTAGGTGACCCAATTTTACCAAAAGAGGAAAAACTTTTACTGTTACTTAGATTTTAGCTGCTCCATGTTGTCCTCTAATGTAATGCTAAATGCTTTGTGAAGGAGGATCAGAATTTGAAAGATGATACTGCACTGGGCACAAACGTTTCTCAGACTTTGATTTCTCCTGTTGAGCACAATTTCTCTGCCTTGAGGATAGAATTTTCCTCTGGGCAAGTATCCATAGAAGGATATTTTAAGGCTCTTTAATTATATAACTTTACCTTCTGATCACAGACAGTTGGCATGTATGCAGTAGCAAGTGTGATTCTCTTTGTAATAATTCTTTTCAGTAGTGTAAGTAATCAAAAGTTTGAAGTTTTTTCTTACTATTTACTTTAAAAATCCATATTTAATTCTACTCCCATCCCCCTGGCAATCCTCCTACCTTACCTCATGAGTGCCAGTATTTTAGATATGCACCACCACAATCATCTCAAACCTTTTAAAAGATAGAATCTGATGGAGAATAATCTCTAGCCTGTAGGCATATTAAAATTATTATCTAAATAACTGTTCACTTTTTTATTTTTTTGTGGTACTAGAGACTAACCCAGGGGCGTATGCATGCTAGGCATTCAGTCTACTACACTCCTATTTTCTTCTGTAATCTAGATTGAACACAGGATTTTGATTATGTGTACATGGGTAGGCAAATTATAAAGTCCTGGGCTACATCTCCAGCCCCTGCTTTCTAATAAAATAGGTACCTGTCTTTCTAGCAGTTACCAAAGGCCTTGAAGAACATGATAAGGGACAAAATGCTTTTTTCTTGTATAATACAAATTTTCTTACCCTCATAAATGTTACATGTTGACAAACTTGATACAATCAGAAAGCCAAGAATGGAGGCATACTAATGGGATAGGGTTTATTGTTTATTCTTGGTCTTTTTTCACAATATGGTTTTTTTTTTTAAAAAAAAAAAAGCATAATTAAGTGAAATTTCTATTCATACTATATGAGCTATGATAAATTATTCCATAAGTTTAACTTCTATTTGATATGGGGCTAAAATAAGTTTAGTCGGGCTAACTAAAAGAAGTAGCGGTAAAGTGTATTCAGTGGCTCTCTGAAGAATATATTTCACTGAAGTGAATTGTGTCTACATATGTGTAGCAGTAGCAGTGACACACTCTTTGTTTTAGGTAGGTTGCTAGGTTTTTGAAAGCAGAAGATTGCACAATTGGTTATGATTGGATGAACCAGTGTTTCCTTAAACCACATTATGCTTAAAAAAGCCAGCCACAAGTGTTCTTTAGTTTAAATATAGATATCTTGGGGCTGGAGGGATGACTCAACTGTTAAGAGGATTGGCTGCTCTTGAAGAGGACCTGGGTTCAGTTCCTAGAACCCACATGGCAGCTGACAACCATCAGTCACTCCAGTTCCAGGGGATCCAACACCCTCTTTTGACCTCCACAGTCATTGCTCACAGGGTGCTCTTACATACATGCAGGCAAAACACTCATACACATAAAATAAAAGTAAATAAACAAATAAAAAATGTAATAGATGAAATAAATAGGGATACCTTAAAAGTAAGTAAACATTAAAAATAGAGTACAAAGGTCTTTTAATGCCTTCCATTGTTTTGTAAGAAATCATTGGTTGTATCTTTGCATTCAAATTAAAAAATAATGCTGCTTAAATATATCCTGGTTTGGGCTAATGAGATGACTCTGGGTAAAGGTACCTGCAGTCAAGCCTGAGGACCTGAGTTCCTTCCATTAGAGTGGAAGGAGAGAGTGACCTTGCCTGAAAGATCTCTGTTCTCCACATGTGTGCTCTGGTGCATGTGTGTACACACAAAATAAAATAGATAAAAATAAAAAAATAAATATGCCCCAGTTTACATAAATATATTTAGCTCTGATCTTCAGAAATTCAAGATTAAGTAGCATTCTTTCCCAGGAGCAAGATGTTTCCCCATCCTTATAACATCTGAATCAGAGTGTCATGTGTGTCAAGTCAGAAGTGGGCTGCGGACATAGACCAGCTCGCTGAAATGCCTGTGTGCACCAACTCAGCTGACCACAGATAAGATAACCTGGTGTGGTTTGAGGTCGGGTATTTTACTAAATGACTACTTGATTGTAACTTTTTGTAATGTATTAGGCAAAGACCTATGGATAAGAAACCAGTTCCTTTGGCCAGAGCACAGATGATTACTAAAGTTTTCTGGTCACTGTTGGACTTGATTGAGGCTGAAAGTAACCAGAGAAGGCAAAAGAAATGGAAAAAAGAGGGAGAAGGAAATAGAAAGTAAAAGCAGTAGTGGTGGAAGGGTACTGCTGTTTATTGCTTCATGTGCCATTTAGGGGTCAGAGTTGTAGGGTGCCTATGCCTCTTATATATGTATTTTAATTTAATGGAACAACTACATGACTGTCTATAATTAATGTATAATTGGTGATGATTCCAATGAAAGCAAATTATTTTTTATTCATTTATTATTCAATGTTAAAATATTACTTAAGAAAATATTTGTATGTTACATAAACAGTGATACACCTCATTTAATGGGCTGCCTTTTTTAAAAAGTAACACTCTAGGATAGCTGATTGTGGTGGCACATGCCTTTGATTCCAGCACTCAGAAGGGAGAGGCAGGTGAATCTCTGTGAGTTCAAGGCTAGCCTGGTCTACATAATGAGTCACAGGCCAGCTGGAGATAGAGGGAGACCCTGTTTCAAAAAACTCCCAGGTGAATATATAAGCAAGGTGTTTTTTCATTAATTGCTAAGAAATATTTTTCTTGAATAGAATTCTTACAAATTAAAACATCTGCTCAGGAAGCATTTTCTAGTGAGACTGGCTCTGTAAGATCATATATATTCATTAGATTCCACCATACTTCATCACCTTTGACCTGGGTTATACATGTGTATTTTTGTTGTCTCTACTACTATTAGACTGAAAACATAGAGAATAAGAATATCTTAATTTATCTCTTAGTTTCCAGCATGGTGAGTGCTCAGTGTGTCAGTTTGACTAAATTAGATTTTGATGCTGTCTTACAGACATCAACCAGTCAGGCCATCTTCCTTCTCCAGTCTGGTATCTGCCATCTCTTCCGAGAAACTTTAATTAACAAAGGCTTTGTGGAAATTCAAACTCCTAAAATTATTTCAGGTATGCTTCAAAATATTTTCTGTAATTTAAACATATTAATTGGCTTTCCAATTATTCAAGTATCTGTGTATTCAAGGCCAGCCTGGTCTGTATAGCAAGTTCCAGGTCAACCAGGACTACGTAATGAGACCTCTATCACATAAATTAAAAAATAAATAAATAAATATTTTTTAAAGGAGGAATATCATTTAAGGGCCAGTGAGATGGCAATTAGAAAAATAATATCTTCTTTCCTTTTACTTATTTAATTTTTTGTTTTTTACATCAAGGTATAGATTTGATTGGTACAGAAAAGGGAACATTTACCTGTAATTCTTGATGTTTCTAGAGGGTTTTTGTTGTTGTTTTCTTTTATAAATGAACTACTTGAATCAAAAGTATAAATTGTGGGCTGAAGAGATGGCTCAGCCATGAAGAGTACTGGCTGCTCTTGCAGAGGACCCAGATTCAGTTCCGAGCTCCCACATGGCAGCTAACAACTAGCCCTAACTCCTGTTCCAAGGGATCCAGTGCCTCTTGTGGCCTCTGAGGGCATTGCACACATGGGTACATGCATACATGCACACATACATTTCACACATACATTGTATACATGCATACATGAAGACAAAACTCAAAACAAAAAAAATTTTAAGTATAAATTGTTTTAACTAAAAGTGTACGCTGATAAACCATGCAACTGATTATAACAGTATAAATGTTTACATTTCAGCTGCCAGTGAAGGAGGAGCCAATGTTTTTACTGTGTCATATTTCAAAAATAATGCCTACCTAGCTCAGTCCCCACAGCTGTATAAGCAGATGTGCATCTGTGCTGATTTTGAGAAGGTTTTCTGTATTGGACCAGGTAAGATTTTTGTCAATTATGTTTATTAATTGTACAGTTATTGTATTAAGTCTTCATTAATTGTAGAGTAGTTATGATATTAGTAACACATACAATGTTCAGATGTTAAGAGCTGGGGATGTGGCTCAATGAGTAAAGCACTTACCTTGCATGTGTAAGTTGTCAGTTCAGTTTCCAGCACCACATTAAAAAAAAGCAAAGAAAATACCTGTCTAGGTAGAAATGTGTGTGTGCGTGCGTGCGTGCGTGCGTGCGTGTGTGTGTGTGTGATTCAATCATTTTTTTTAAACCTTTAAGCATTTATGTGAGTAGAATCACAGGCAGTTAGAGTCTTGCCAAAAAAAACTTTTTTCTTGACAACGTCTAATTTTAAAAATACATGCTTTGGGGCTGGAGAAATGGCTGAGCAGTTAAGAGCACTGGGTATTCTTGCTGAGGACCTGGGTTCAGTTTATAGCACCCACATAGCAGCTAACAAGCATTTGTTACTCAAATACACGCTTTGAAAATATGTACCCTCTCATTTACACCTGAGTACATTGTTTATTATAACAAAGTGCAGTTAGACCAGAACTAGTATTTGGACTGGCCCCTCAGTGCCTTACCAGTACTCAAACAGATAGTTGCAATCTTTCAAATACTGTATTTTGTTCTTTATACCTTCTCTATAGCAAGTTTACAGGGGCCTCTGTCCATGTTGCCAACAGGCTTTTCTATTTCCCTAGTACTATTCATACTGCCCTTACTCTTGGTAATATGCTAAAGTCCATTAGAACCAAGAAATGTCTCATAATTAACAGGTGATAGCATGGTTTTTAAGATGTATTTGCTAAAAACCAAGTACAAAAACAGAAACGTAGATATTTTTTCTGACTAATTACAAGTGAAAAAAAAAAAACAGCTTTACATCATTCTTTTAAAAAGTTATTTTGGGGCTGGAGAGATGGTTCAGCAGTTAAGAGCACTGGCTGCTCTTGAAGAGGACCAGGGTTCGATTCTAGCACCCACATGGCAGCTAACAGTCATCCTTAACTCCAGTCCCAGGGGATCTGACACCTTCTTCTGACCTCCTCGGGCATTGCATGACACAGGTGTACTTACATACATGTAGGCAGTACACTCACATAAAATAAAAATTAATAAATATTTAAAAAAATAAGTTTATATATAAATTTTTGGTAATTTAATAAAGCTAATTCTTACTAATGAGAAATTGGCATGGTTATGAAATGTTTTAACTTTGTGAATCTGTCAAGTAGTTATTTTCCAAGCATCTATTGCATGTGTATTGAATTTGTTTTAGGGGGTCTTGTTTGTTTCTAAATTTTTTAGGTTTGGAGGGATGTTTGTTTTGGGGGTTTTGTTGTTTGTTTTGAGCCAGGGTCTCCCTGTAGCCCCAGCTGGCCTAGAACTTGCATTGTAGACCAAGCTGGCCTCAATCTCATTGAGATCCACCTGCCTCTGCATCTCTGGTGCTGTGATTAAGGGCGTGAGCCAACATGCCTGATTCTGCATATATATTCCTACACTAGATATGAAACCATAATGGGGATCTTGGATGCAGGCTGTAGGTAGATTTGGGGTAAAACCTGAGATTTAGCTCTCACAAGCATCCAGCTAACTGCTGGTACTCCTGTTATGCAGATCATTTTTTGAGTGAAAGGGGAATAAACACTGTCCCTGCTCCTGACACGAAAATAAGCCATACATATGTAGAGCAGTCACAGGAAATAAGCAAATGAATTGCAAAACAATCAAGCTATGTATGCTGGCTCATTCCTATAATCCTAGCACTCAAGAGGCTAAAGTGGAAGAGTCATCATGAGTTCTAGAAAGCCAAGACTATGGAGTGGGACCTTGTTCCAAGAAAGAAGAATCAGATTGTGCTGTACAATCAGCAATAAGTGTAAGAAAATTGAGTTTGTTAGAGTCACCGTTAAAGAAAATTCAAACTAAAATGGGCTCGTGGGATATCACTAAGGTGATAGTGTTCTAATAGAGGAAAATTAATGAGTAAAAAGCATGGACCATCAGAGAAAACAGAAATAAAAATGGTTACTGTTAAGAAATGAGAAGTGAAAAAATAAAAATAAAGGCAGGAGGGGAGGAGCTGGAGAGATGGCTCAGTGGTCAAGAGCACTGGCTCTTCTTGCAGAGGCCTTTTCAGTACCCATATGGCAGCTAACAATGGTCCATAACTCCAGTTCCAGGGGAATCCAACACCTTCTTCTGACTTCCCTGGGCATTACACGACACGGGTACACTTACACCCATGTAGGCAAATATGCTCATACACATAAAATAAAAATAGTAAGTAAAAAAAATTTTTTTTAAAGAAATGGGACATGCAGGCTAAGATTAAATTGCGAAAACATAAAGGTTTTAGCCTTTTGTCATTTTATGTCTTGTTACAGTAGTCATTTGGGAGCCATTGTGAGTTTCTGAGTGGGGATGTGTTAAAGGAATATTATTGTGGCAGTGAAGTGAAAGATGAGCTGAGCTAGTGAAGAAAGACTGTAAAGAAGGAGATGTAGGGAACATAGAAGCTGGACTGGGGATGGCTGGGGTATAATGTTCCCTCATTTATTCACAACTTTGTTTTGCTTGAGTTGTATTTTAATAAAATGGAGACAAACTTACTTTATTGGTCATAATTGAGTCTGTTTTTAATTATTGAGATGGTGCCTCAGGACCTTGCATTCCCTGGGGGGGTCTCATGAATCTCGTTTATTAATTTACATTTGATTCAGCTTTTACGTGACTTGGGAGTTTGTAATGAACTCAATGTCTAGGAGAATGTGGAAACAGATGGCTTATCAGAGGTCTCTCCCACTCTATGGGGATGTGAAAATAGTACCACTTGAGCACAGCCAAGTAGAAGTTTGTATTGAAGTTCTCACTTACCAAAGATTTAAAATCCCGTGTTGTTTTTCTTTTACTAACTTACCAGTTTTCAGAGCTGAAGACTCCAATACCCACAGACATCTGACTGAATTCGTTGGTTTGGATATTGAAATGGCTTTTAATTATCACTATCATGAAGTTGTAGAAGAAATTGCCAACACCTTGGTGCAAATATTCAAAGGGCTTCAAGAAAGGTGAAAAACATTTTATATACTTAGGTGACTTTAATTTCAAATCAGTATGGGTTTTTTTTGGTGTGCGGTGGGGTGGGAGTAGGGGACAACACAAGGTTACTGCATGTAAGCTGACCTCAAACTCCTGATTCCTCTTCCTCAGCCTCTCAAAGTGCTGGAATTGTAGGCATATACCACCACACTCCGCATGAAAATAATAACTCTTGAATTAGAACATAGGAACTAAATTTCTGTTGGGCATACTTGCAGTTCAATAATCAGTTTGGCTATTATTAGGTACTCCATAAGAATGATTACATTGATGGGGCATGGTGGCCCTTGACTATAATTCTAGCACCCAGAGACTGCAGCAGACATGTTAAGAGTTCAAGGCAAACCTTGTCGAAATAGCCAGACAACTTCATTTCCAAGAAAAGGCATTTTATATGCCACAGTGGTTCTAGGAGATTATATAACTGAATAGCATCATCTTTTCTGAATCTGTCTACATGTAAATTAAGCAAATGGTTAATTTTTAAAACTCCTACTTATATTAAGTATTCAGTAAAGAAAGATCTTAGAATCTAGTAAACTGAAGGGCTTTTTGCCTTATTTGGGTCTGGTGAGAAATATTAAATGTGATCTCAGTGTTGCAGAAAGTTGAAATTTGTGAGATGTCCACCTTAGGTATACCCCCTAAATGGCAAATAGCTTTTCCCTTATATACCAGAAAGTTGTATGCTTGTGGTGGTGTTTAACATGGAAAAAATAGTAAAGAAAATGGAACGCTATTAAGTTGATGAAGAGAATGTCTTTTCCTTTGTCCATCCTTATGTACTTCAGTTGTTTGGTTAGCTAAAAGTGACTTAATTAACTAATGTTTAATAACTATGAAGGTCCATGTTTAAGCTTTTTATTTTAAGACCACTGTTGTTTGCTTGTTTCTTGTTGGTTTTGGAGTGTGGTTTTTTGTTTCCTTGTTTGTTGTTTGTTTGTTTTGAATCTCCTGTGGTTCAAGCTGGCCTTGAACTTGCTATGTTGCCAGCTGAGAATGACCTTAAGATCCTGATCCTCCTGCTTCCATGTTCCAATAGCTAGAATGTACTTCCATGCCCAACTAAGACCACTGATTTTTTTACTGTATATTTTTATTGAATTTTTGTGCATTTCATTCAAAACATCTTAACTATCTTTATAACCCCTCCCCCATCCAGATGCCCCCATAGCCCACCCACTGGATTTCATGCATTCTGTCATATATTTAAGTCAAGATAGTGTACACAGAAGTCCCTCAGTGCAAGTTCAACTGGAGTCTAGTCAGCCTGTTTAGAGTCCACTCCCCTAAAGAAGATCAACTTTCCCTCACTGGTGCAGCAGTAATCAGCTGCTGGACATAAAGACATATGAACACCAATATAATAATAGTGGGTGATTTCATTACCCCACTATTCAACAGAGAGGTTACCCCAACAAAAGAAGAGAAACTTCTGTGTTAAATGACAGCAGTGGTGTCAGCATGCACAAGACCCATGTAAACTTAATCAGACAAAAACCCAGCATAGGACTGAGGAAACGGGCAGCAGGCCTCAACCTTAGCCAAAGAACTGTTGGCAAGGTCTCACTGTGTAGCTCTGACTGGCCTGGTACTCACAGAGATCTACCTCCTCTGCCTTCCAAATGCTAGGATTAAAGGCATGTGCTACTACACTTGGCCTAAGATCATTAATTTTTACAGTTCACTGTTATGTATTTGATATACTTTGATTTTTTTTAATATCTTATTATTTTTATGTATATGTGTGAGTGTATTCCCTGCATGCATCTAAGTGCACTCATGTTGTGCAATGCCCATGGAGATCAGAACAGAGCATCAGATTCCCCTGGAACTGGAGTTACAGATGGTTGTTAGCACCCATGTGGTGCTGGGAATCAAACCTGGGTCCTCTGCAAGAACAGCCAGTTCTCTTAACCATTGAGCCATCTCTCCAGCCCCTACTTCCTTGATATTTTTAAGTTAAAAAATTTGAATTTTATTTATTCCATTGAAGCTAATGAGCATATTTAAAAAAGCAGAAATTGAGTAACCAAAATACATTATATATGAAGTCACATATGAAATTGCCAAAGAACTTACAATCTTTAGAATGTCAAAAAATATTGCAGAAATTAATTAATGGTCTTATATAGAAGTGCTATAGCATACACAGACTGGTATTTTCCAGACCGTCTCTGCATTGAGTGAATTACATACATACAGCCTTTTTTATTTTTTTAATCTTCTGAAATATGCTGGTGAAGTTTCTTTTAAGCAACCCATTCAAATTTCCCTGGAACAGAATGTTTCCTTATAAAACAAAATATCCTTTGAGACCATAATAAAGAAATACACTTTTCCTCATATTTTTCATATTTACAATTTAAGAAAGTTTCTAAGACTTCTACATAAGGACACTTTTCTCTAATTGTGTGTGTTTGAAATGAATCAGTCTTTTTATACTGTTTCCCCATGTAGCTTCAGAAACCTTTATTGTGATTTTTTTTTCATTTTTTCAGTAAATGTAAATGCTGGGAGTGGTAGTACACACCTTTAATCCTAGCACCTAGGAGGCAGAGGCAGGTGACTCTCTGAGTTGGAGGTCAGTCTGGTCTACATAGCAAGTTCCAGGCTAGCCAGAACTGATGAGACCCTGTTTCAAAAACCAAATAACAAAACCAGTAAATGTAAGGCAATAGTTTGGGGGAAAAGGAAGAAAAGCCTTCTTTCTATACTTCATAAGTCATTTAGGGACTTTCTGTTCGTGTGTCTCTTGTGGTTTGGGTTGCCAGACTTGTGTCATGTTCCTCTCATGTTTACATTGTTAGTTTTTATGTCAAAGCTGAATGATACACTGATGAAGGACCATCAGTAAATCTTAAAGCATTGGTAGACATGAGTGAGGGAACAGTCAAAGCAACAGATTCATTTCAAAATCAGTGACTGGACAAGGTGTGGCACACACCTACATTCTCATACAGGAATGTGTATAGGATGTATGGACTTTAGGGACAGTGAGGTGGCTCAACAGGTAAAGGTACTTGGCAACCTGAGTTTGAACCCTAAAACCCATGTAAAGATAGAAGTAAAGAACCAGTTCCACAAATTTGTCCTTTGACCTCATATGCACTGTAGCACACCTGTGCATACATGTGCATACACATCATATACAGACATATATAATTAAAATATGGGGTTTGAGAGATGGCTCAGCAGATAAGAGCACTGTCCGCTCTTGCAGAGGACCTGGTTTTAATTCCCAGTACCCACATGGTGGCTAACAGCCGCTATAACTCCAGGTCCAGGGGATTCAGCATCATCTTCTGATCTCTGAGGGTATTGCATAACACTGGTGCACTTCCACACGTGCAAGCAATACACTCGTACACATAAAATTTTTTTTTAATGAGTAAAATAATTTCAAGTTTTTTTAAAATGTGTGTATATATGTATGTATATATGTATGTGTATGCATGTGTGGTTACAGGTGCCCATGAAGTCCAGAAGAGGGTATCAAATCCCCTGGAACTGAACCTACAGTCAGTTATGAACCTGTAGGTACTGGGAACCAAATTCAAGTTTTCTTCAAGATGTACTCCCTAACTGCTGAACTATCTCTCTAGCCCCTAAAATATTTTTTTAATTAACATGAACATTAGCCTATGAATACCCATGTATTCATCATCTTGTTTCAGCCATTGCTGATCCATGACTAATTTTATTAAATCCATTTCCCTCACCCCATTATTTTGAAACAACTCCTTGCTGTCATTTATCCATTTAAATACTTTTGCAAAAAAAAATTTTTTATCTCAGTATCTCTTAGCTAGGTGTGTTGGTACATGCTTGTAATCGCAGCATTCAAGACACTGAAATGAGAATTTTGAGTTTGAGTCTAGCCTGTTCTACATAGTGAGACTCTGTCTTTAAAAAAAAAAAAAAAAAAAAAAAAAGTCATCTTCAACAGCAGAAATTGACTTCACTAGAGTTAACATTTGTCCCAGGCCTATTCTGTGCAGGGTAGGCATTGTACTATAGGGATTATCAAAGTAGGAAAGAAATGGTGCTCCTTAAATGAACTTAAATAGCACGGTGGGAATGGGAGAAATGCAGCAGATGCTCATTAGTGTGGTCTTCCTTGAGGCTTAAAAATGTTGCTAACAGATTAAAAAGTAAAATTTTTTTAAATGCCTCATAGAATGAGTATTTTGTGTTCTAACAATGTTAGCTGATAGGAGCTGTAAATAAAAATGTTAATCCCTTAATTCTGCTCTGATTACAAAAACATAAGACCAAGAAGTGGTATTAAATATTTTAAGTACTTTAATAATGGTTTGATAATGCTTTTCCTAGTGTATACACTGATTCAGACTGATTTTATATATCACCACAGTGACCTCTTGTGGAAACAACAATTATCTCACATTTTATTAACTAAATCTTTTAACATACAGGTACCAGACTGAAATTCAAACTGTGAATAAACAGTTCCCATGTGAGCCATTCAAGTTTTTGGAGCCAACTTTAAGACTAGAGTATTGTGAAGCTTTGGCTATGCTTAGAGAAGCAGGAGTTGAAATGGGCGATGAGGAAGATCTAAGGTTGGTCTCTCCAATTTTTGTTTAACTTTACTGCTTAGGTTTACATTGTAAGAATAAATTAGTATTTTTTCACCTGATAAATTTATGTATGTTGTAAAATAAAAATGTTTAATATGGTTTGCCTAGATTTTAATAACTTTGTTTATAAACTTTTCATTTTTCTCCTTTTTTTTTTTTTTTTTTTTTTTTTTTTAGAGATGAGTCATTTGAAACAGGGTCTCCCTGTAGCCCCAACTAGCCTGGAACTTACTATGTAGACCAGGCCAGCCTTGAACTCACAGAGATCTAGCTGCCTCTGCCTCCCAAGTGCTGGGACTAAAGGCATATACCACCATGCCAGAAGGTAAGGAACCAGACCTGACGGCACAGGCCTGTACCCAGGGAGGCTGAAGAAGAAGAATTGCAGGTTTAAAGCTCTCCCCAGGCTACAGAATGAGTTCTGAGCAAGCCTGAGCTTAGGGAGACCTGCCTAAAAATGAACAAAAAGGGGTGGAGGCCATAACTCAGTTGTAGAGCCTTGTTTAGCCTGTGTGGGACCCTATATTCAATTTCTGGTACTGTACAACAAAAAAGAGAATGTAGAGTTTTACCTGTGATTTTTCTCTTTCAAAATCACTGTGATGGCGAGGGTAAAGAGCAAGCTAAATCAGCCTACCCAGGACTAGGCATAAAAATACCAACATCTCCAGGTGTTATCAGTGTATAGTATTTTGTTATCTAAATTCAGCTTATGTTTAATAAAGATTGAAAACTATTGACAGTGTACGTTCCATTCAGAGGTTCCTTGTTAAAAATAGGTAAATCAGGCTGGAGAGATGGCTTAGTGGTTAAGAGCACTGACTGCTCTTGCAGAGGACCTGAGTTCTATTCTGACACCCTCTCTGACTTCTGCAGGTACTGCACAATATGGGCTCACCTACCTACATGCAGGCAGTATACTCATACACATAAAAAAAATAGTGAAATATTTAAAAAATAGATAAATCAGCCTGGAGAGATGGTCAGTGGTTAAGAATACTTCCTGTGCTTCCAATGGACCCGGGTTCTGTTCCCAGCACCCACATGGTGACTAACAACCATTCATAATTCTAAATTCAGGGAATTTGACACTCTCTTCTGGCCCCTGCAGGGCACTGTACACACATGGTATACTTACATACAATACAGGCAAAACACATACACATAAAATAAAAATAATAAATATTTTTTAAAATAGGTAAAATCATCACAAAAGTGCACAATAGATATGTGAAAGGGAAAGGCGATGGTTGTCATTTTTTAGGGTTTTATCCAAAAACATAGTGCACTGTATACCTGTTATCTATTTATTAAAGAAAATTATGATTTTGAGCATCCCTCACATTTTAAGGAAAACCATAAATTTTGTAATTAGTTCAATTCAGATAATTTTTTTTACATATTTTGGAAATTTTAAAAAAAAATTTATTATGAGTGTATTGCCTGTGTGTTTATAAGTGCATCCATGTCATACAATGCCCACAGAGGTCGTAAGAGGGTGTTACATCCCCTGGTACTGGAGTTATGGACAGTTGTTAGCCACTGTGTGGGGCTGGGAACTGAACCTGGGTCCTCTTCAAGAGCAGCCAATACTTTTAGCTCTCCAGCCTCAAATTGTTCTTAATTAATGTAGAAGCTAAAGCAAATACCTCTTCACCACAAAAATTTAATTTGTTTATCGAAACATCATTACCTTTAAAAATTTGGGTATAGCCAGGTGTAGTGGCACACGCCTTTAATCCCAGGGCTTGGAAGCAGAGGCAGGTGGATCTCTGTGAGTTCGAGGCCAGCCTGGTCTACATAGTGAGTTCCAGGCAACTGGGGCTACAGGGAGACCTTGTCTCAAAAAGACCAAAAAAACATAGTGAGTTCCAGGACAGCTGGGACTACAGGAAGACCCTGTCTCAAAAAGACCAAAAAAATAAAAAAATACAAAAAATAAAATATTTTTTAAAAAAAGGTGGTGAGCAAGTCAGGCATAGTGGTATATACATTTAGACCCAGCACTCAGGAGGTGGATCTCTGTGAAATCCAAGGCCAGCCTGGTCTACATAGTGAGTTCCAGGCAACTGGGGCTCTACAGGGAGCTTTTCTAAAAAAAACCAAAAAAAAAAAAAACTTGGGTACACTGGTTTTCATATTACAAACATTTGTGAATAGTACCAAAAAGAGTAGACTATTTAATGGCAAGAGCCTCACATGCTGGCCTAGTGAACTTTATTACACATAATTGTAGTAAAATATTTCACTTGTGGTGTTTTGGGGTCAATGGATTGCCAAACTGTTTGGTTTTAAACCTTGGAGCAGTGTGTATAAGCAGTATGTCGTGGGAAGTGTGTTGGGGAGTGGCTTTCTGAAGTGTTTTTCCTAAAAAGAGCAGGGTAACTGACAGTGCCTTTGGGTCTAGGTTTGTATCCTTCAAGAACTTCAAATAGAAGTAGGTCTTATTAACTTCAAAATTCTTTTAAGTTGCTGTTTGATGGGAATTGGGGAGATGGTTCAGGGGTTAAGAGTGCTTACCGTTCTTCCAGAGATTTGAGTTTGGTTCCTGGTTACCCACATTGGCCAGCTCACAGTTGTGTGTAATTCCAGCTTCTAACCTCTGTGGGTCCCTGCACTCACTTCTGTGAGTGAGACACACATAGACATAATAAAAAATAAACTTGAGAGATGGCTTGGTGATTAAGAGGGAGTACTGCTCTTCCAGAGGACCAGAGGTTAGTTCCCGGCACCCTTATCAAGTGACTTACAACTGCCTGTCACTCACTTCCAGGGGATCCAACACCTCTGACCTCTATGCACACTTGCACATATGCACACATACATACACATAATTTAAAATAAAATTAAAAATTTTTTAAATAAATAATTCTAGGGGTGGAAAGATTGCTCTGTTGTTAAGAGCACTTGCTACTCTTGGAGAGGAACCAGGTTCAGTTCCTAGCACCCATATGGCAGCTCCCAACAATCTGTATAACTCCACTTTCAGAGAATCCAACCTCTCTTCTGGCCTGTGGGCACTGCATGCATGTGATGCACATACATGTGATGCAAGCAAAACAGTCATAAAATAAAAATTAATCTTAAGCCAGGTACAGTAATGCACACCTTTAATCCCAGCACTCAGGAGGCAGATTAATAAATCTTTATCTTAATAAATCTTTAAAATTAAATTTTTACGCTGGATGTAATGGTGTGCATCTTTAATCCCAGCCCTCAGGAGGCAGAGGCAGGTGAATTTCTGTGAGATCAAGGCTACCCTGGTTCACATTGTGACTTCTAGGTGGGCTGTGACTAGGGAAATCCTGTCAAAATAATCAATTTGAAAATTTTAATTTTTACATTGCTATTTATACTTCTTTTTCAGTACTCCAAATGAAAAATTGTTGGGTCGGTTGGTGAAGGAAAAGGTAGGACCTTTAAAAAATTATTTTTATGTGTATGATATGAGGGGAGAGGGGTGAGGTGTACATGACATGCCATGGGTGGGTGGGTGGGTGTGTGTGTGTGTGTGTGTGTGTATCAGAGGACAACTTTGTAAAATTGGTTCCCTCCTTCCACCTTTTTTTTTTATGTGTATGAATGTTATGCCTGCATGGAGGTAAGTGCATCCGTGTCATGCAATGCCCAAGGAGGACATAAGAGGCTGTCGGATCCCCTGGGACTGGAGTTACAGACTTACAGACAGTTGTCAGCTGCCATGTGGGTTCTGGGATTCAAACCCAGATCTTCTGCAAGAACAGTGTTCTTAACCGCTGAGCCATCTCTCCAGCCCCTCCTTCCTTCCTTCCACCTTTACATGGGTTTCAAGGTTTTAACTTAGGTCTCTGGGCTACCACTGAGTCATCTTGCCAGCCCTGAGGTAGACTCTTGATCATACTAGAATTTTTTTCTTTTTCTATTTCTTTTTTTTTTCCCCCCTCGTATCTGAAATGTACCTTGTCATGAGACAACAAAAGAATACTCTGGCATCTCCCTACAGTGGTATACATCTACAATAAATAAAAGAGAACTATGTTTCTGTCCTTAGAAAAAGGAAACAATATTTAGGCAGACTCTGACCAACATTTTAACTAATTCAATATTTGATATTTCTACTAAGTTGTATTGAGATGCCTCTAAAAGGAACTTACTTTAGATTGTCAGATTAGTTAGGAAGGGCCCTGAAGTTTTTTGTTTTTTGTTTTTTGTTTTTGTTTTTGTTCTTTTTGAGACAGGGTCTCCCTGTAGCCCCAGCTGTCCTGGAACTCACTATGTAGACCAGGCTGGCCTTGAACTCATAGAGATCTGCCTGCCTCTGCCTCCCAAGCGCTGGGACTACAGGCGTGCGCCACCACACCCGGCCGTGAAGTCATTTTTTTAAAGGTCATACCTGTGTACTCCTGCTCTTATTTTCTAAAAACTAAAACTCTAAAGACGATAGAAGATACACTTAACAAAATTAAGATAACAATTTTATCTAATTCAAAAAGTCTTTTAGTTCTTCCTGCTCCTTGTACTTGAAATAGTTAAACTGACTGGAGAAATCAACTTTTTTTTTTAATGTTTTGAATTTTTGCAATCTTGATACAATATAATTTGGTGTTATTTAGATTTTCCCACTATCTGCACTTTCCTTTACTGCTCTCTGCACTCTATTTTATCACCTATAGAGTCAGATTTGTGTCCCCAAATGTCCTTCAGTGTGGGTCTATCCACCTGAGCCTGGTTAACCTACCAAGAGTTCTGTCCCTGTATGGGACTGTCTCTCTCTTCCCAGCAGCCATCAGTTGCCACAAGTTCCCTAGGTTGGGTTGGAATTTCTTACCCACTTCCCCATGTCTGTGCTAGAATTTTGTCTACTTTGAACTTGCATGGGACTTGTGCATGCTGTTACCATTGCTGTGAGTTCATATAAGTAACTGACTAGGTATCTGGAGAAACTTTCCCTTTGGTCATCTACCACCTTTGCCTTTTAAAGTCTTTCTGTCACCTTTTCTACAATGACTCCTGTGCTTTAGGAGGCAGAAGTTTGAAATAGGTATCCTATTGAGGGATAAGCACTCTGCAACCTCATGTTCTCTGCACATTGGCCAGGTATGGGTTTCTGTGTTGATCACCATTTGTTGCATAAGGAAACTTTGCTGGTGAGAACTGATAGATGCATTCATTTTATGTGTAGAGATTGCAATAAAGATGCATCACTTAGGGCTAAGCATCTCACAGACACTTATTCTCTGTATTTGACCAGTTGTGCAACTCTGTAATCGTCTCCATCTGTTGCAAAAAGAAGCTTCTTTGATAAATGGTAAGAGGTACACTTGTTTGTAAATATGAGGGTGCATAATTAGAATACTATGAGAAATTACATTGGTCTAGGGATGTGGCAAAACTAGGTTTTTCTCTAGGATCTATGACTTCTCTAGCCATATGTGTTTGGCTATATTTACAATACTACACATAAGTTCCCTCCCATTGAGTGGGCCTTAATTCCAGTTAGATAGTTATTGATTACCCCCAAGATAAAAGTGCCTCTACTGCACTGATAGAAATAGTTTGCTGGGCCGGTCATTGTTGTTTACAGCTGGGTAAACATTGATTTTTCTCTCTTGGCATCTTCTATAGTATCCTCTGATATCATGAGAGCTAGTCTTCAGGGAGGAGGCTTCCAGGTCGGTTCCAGTTCATTTGCTCCAAATCCTGTGTCTGAAGTGTGGCCTTGTCTTCAGCAGTAGGGTCTTACCTTCAGGTTCTGGGAGGCAATCAAGGGCTGTAGCAAAAGTCTGTGTTATTTTGGGAGTCTCTTGGACTACCCTGACCAACAACTCAACAGGAAGTTTCTCCTGCCTGGAATTTTGTCCCTGTTGTTGTTGTTGTTTAGCCTTTAGCTATACACATGGACTCATGTATTTATTGTATTTGTATTTTTCAGTAGGACCTTGAACTAATACATTTCCCTCTTGTGTTTTTTTTTTTTGAGGGGGGGTCTTTTTGAGACAGGGTCTCCCTGTAGCCCCAGCTGTCCTGGAACTCATTATGTGGACCAGGCTGGCCTTGAACTCACAGAGATCCACCTGCCTCTGCCTCCCAAGTGCTGGGATTAAAGGTGTGCGCCACCATGCCTGGCCTCCCTCTTTTTTTTTTTTTTTAATACCATCTAAGTGTTATTTATTTCTTCTCCTCTCACTTCTCGTGTATAGCCCCCCCTACTTCCTCCCAAGTTAAAGTACCCTCTTTTCCTCCCTGATAAGACCTGTCTCCTACTAACCCTCTCTCTCAAAGCTCCTTCTTCCCCTTTACCCCATGTTTCCTTTTCATTTTCCTGGCTCCTGTGGTTACATCAGGATATATACTCACATCTAAGGATTTAGAACTAAGATCCACAAATGAGAGAGAACATAGCATCACTTGTTTTTCTGAATCTGTGGTATTTCACTTAGTATAACAGTTTCTAGATCCAGGCATTTACCTAGAAATTTCATTATTTTCTTTACTGTCAAGTAGAACTCCATTCATCAGTTGAGGGACATTTGGGTTGCTTCCATTTCTTAGCTACTGTAAAAAGAACAGATGAGTCCTTTGGATATAAGTCAAGGAGTGGTAGAACTGGATCATGTGGTAGATTTATTTTTAGTTAAGAGTCCTCCATACTGATTTTCACAGTGATGCACTGCTTTGCAATCCCATTAACAATGAATGAGGGTTTCCCTTTCCATACATCCCCACCAGCATTTGGTATCATTTGTTCTCTTGATCTATTCATTGTTTGTTTGCTGATGTTTTGTTGTTGTTAGTGGTGGTGGTGGTTCTATAACAGATTTATTTTAAAAGGCAAAACACTTAGTTTAAGTACAAGTTGAACAGAGTTGCAGCTAGTCAGAAATGATGCCACCATGTATTTTCTCTCTCCCAGACACTCACCAGTGTTCTCTGAGTCCTATCTAAAAGGAAAAAGGCTCTGATACTTTATTCCTATACATCCTTCTTATATGCGATGTAATTGACAGTTTCTTGTGAACACATTAATTTCTCTACATCGATACCAGTTATTTCAAACCCAAAGTCATCTTCTATGGCCATAATAATCTCTGCTTGGTCCAAACTATCTAAGCCCAAGTCCTTCATAAAATGTGAATTTAGTTTTTGTGAGTCAATCTTGTAGAATCTCAAGACATACAGAACTCAGTCCTTGATTCTCTTAAGGTCAAAGAAAGAGCATCACTGTATTGGTGGTGCAAATGTGAGACTTTCCCTGGCACCTGCACAAGCGCCAAGGCCAGCTGTGGAGCCCCAGGCCTTATCCAGGTTTTCAAGAGGCACAGAGTGGTGCTGAGTGGCAGAGCCAGGGTGAATGTGGGAAGCCGGGGAAGTGGAGCAAAGGTGGAGAGCAGGCAGCGGACACCAGCCGCCATGGCTACACCTACCCAGGGTGCACTGCCAATCTTAAAGTAGTTTTGATTTGCATTTTCCTAGTTACTAAGGATGCTGAAAACTTTTTGAGGTATTTTTTAGCCATTTTTATTTTATTTTATTTTATTTTTTGAAAGCTCTCTGTTCAGATCCATAGCCCATTTTTTAATTGGATCATTTGTTTTCTTCTTGTTTTTTGAGTTCTTTGTGTATTCTGGATAGTAATCCTCTGTCAAATGTGTAGCTGGTGAAGATTTTCTCCCACTCTGAGCTTCCTCTTCACTTGTTTCCTTTGCTATATAGAAGCTTTTTAGTTTAATGAGGTCCCATTTGTCAGTTGTTGACCTTAATTCCTAAGCAACTAAGGTCCGATTTAGAAAGTCCTTTCCTGTACCTATATTTTGTAGGGTACTGCCTATGTTTTCTTCTAACAGTTTCAGCATTTCAGGCTTCAAATATTGAAGTCTTTGATCCATTTGGAGTTGACTTTTGTGCAGGGTGATAGGTCTGGGTCTAATTTCATTCATCTAAACATGGAGATATAATTTTGCCAGCACCATTTGTTGGAGATGCTGCTGTCTTTCTTCCAGTGTGTGTTCTTGGCATCCTAGTTTGTTTCTTCATTGCTGTGACAAAACACTCTGACCACTACCAACTTGGGGAGGAAAGGGTTTATTTATCTTACATCTCCCAGGTCACAGGTCATCAGGGAGCCCAAGGTAGGAACTCAGGGCAGAAACCTGGAGGCAGGAGCTGTAGCACAGGCCAAGGAGGAACACTGCTTACTAGCTTGCTCCCTTGGCTCCTGCTCAGCCTGCTTTCTTATGCAACATAGGCCCACCTGCCCAGGGGTGGCACCACCCACAGGGGGTTGGGCCCTCCCACATCACTAACCAATCAAGAAAATGCCCATGGACCTGGGCACAGACCAGGCCAATAAAGGCAGTTCCCCAATTGAGGCTCCCTCAACCCATGTGAGTCAAGTTGACACTAAAGCTATCCAGCACAGCATCTTTGTCAAATATCAGGTGGCTATAATTGCATGCACTCATGTTTGGGTCTTCTATTTTGTTCCATCCATCTATACCTTTGTCAAATATCTAGTGGCTGTTATTGTGTGCACTCATATTTGGTTCTTCTATTTTGTTCCATTGATCTACAAGGCCGGTTTGTTTGGTTGGTTGTTTTTGACGCTATTGCTAATGGGAGTCTTTCCCTGTACTCTTTTCTCTGATTGCTTGTTATTTGTATATAGAAAGGTTACTCTTGAGTTGTGCCATTAAGTTATTTATTTGTGCTCTTTCTGATTTTTGTAAATTGATTTTGTCTCCTGCCACTTTGCTGAACACACTGATCATTTCTAGGAGTTTTCTGGTAGAATTTTGGGATCTCTTATGTATAATATATCATCAGCAAATAGGAATCATTTGACCTCTTCTTTTCCAATTAGTACCCCTTTAAAATTGCTGTAGCTAGAGTTTCAAGCCCTATATTGAAAAGGAGTGGGTATAGTGAGCAGCCTTGTCTGGTTCCTGATTTTAATGGGAAGGCTTCAAGTTTTTCTCCATTTAGAATAATGTTGACTGTGGGTTTGTTGTATATAGTCTTAATTATGTTGAGGTATGTTCTCTGGAGTCCAAGTCCCTCTATGGCCTTTATCATGAGTGCATGTTGGATTTGATAAAGGCCTTTTTCTGCATCCATTGAGATAATCTTTAAGTTCATTTATATGATTACTGACTTATGTATATTAAACCGTCCCTGCATCTCTGGAATAAAACCAACCTGATCATGGTGGATGATCCTTTTGATCCTTTTGTATGTGATTTGCAAGTATTTTATTGGGAGTTTTTGCATCTATGTTCATTAGGGATATGGGCCTATAGTTTTCTTTTTCTGTTGTATTGATTCCTGGTTTGGATAGTAGAGAGAGTAGTACTGTCCTCATTCCCTGTTTCTCCCTCTGTTTCTTTTTGAATAAGTAGTATTGGCTGTAGACCTTCTTTGAGGGTCTGGTAAATTCTGCTGTGAAACCATCTGGGCTTGGGCTTTTTTTAGAGCTATAAACTTACCTCTTAGGACTGCTTTTAATGTGTCTTAGCTAGTCATGAGAACTCAACTATTTCTGAAACTTAACAAATATTACATTTATACTTTGAAAATAGTGTTTCCACAGTACCCACTTGTCTTTCACTCTGTTGACATTCTCACCTCTAGTCATAACGAAAATGAAGTAAAAAAAACAGTTGATATATGATTTCTTTTTAACTAAATACCTTTTTTTTAACTTTTAAAATTTGTTTTTTTTTTTTATTTTATGTGTATGCGTGTATTGCCTGCATGTAGGTAAGTGCACCCATGTCGTGCAATGCCCGCGGAGGTCAGAAGAGATAGTCGGATCCCCTGGGACTGGAGTTATGGACAGTTGTTAGCTGCCATGTGGGTGCTTGGATTTGAACCTGGGTCTTCTGCAAGAACAACCAGTGTTCTTAACCACTGAGCCATCTCTCCAGCCCCTTAACTAAATATCTTATAGTAACTATTCTAATAGTAGTTCTAGCAGTTTTATGTTAATAGCATTTATTTCAATTGTAGTTTTTATTTTAAGAAAACTAACAATTTTATTTAGCTATCCAAACAGAAAATTAAATTATTGAGAAAATCCAAAGGGGTTTAGTATTATTACAGTTTTTCCACAAAATATTCTATAGATTTAATGGTTTCTGTAAACCCTGAAAAGATTTTGTGTAGTGTAACAAAACAATTCATATAAAGCTTCTGGATGTCTAGACAAACAAGAAAAACAAAGGAAATGACTGAAAATCAAAGATGTTTATTGCAGTTTAGTTTATAATAGGAGAAAATTGCAAAGAGATTATATACTAAAAAAAAAAAAAAAAAATTGAATGGCTGGGTAAGGGGGCATATGCCTTTAGTCCCAGCACTTGGGAGGCAGAGGCAGGCAGATCTCTGTGAAGTCAAGGCCAGCCTGGTCTACATAGTAAGTTCAGGCCAGCTGGAGCTATAGGAAGACTCTGTCTCAAAAGAAAAAATAAATAAATAAATAATAAAGAAATGAATGTTTGAGCTATGCATGAATAGTAAACAACTGTCAAAATAAGGTTCTAGAAGAATTTATAATGTGACTTACCTGCAAGTTATAAATGACTCCTTGAACTTTAAATTATTGTGAGTACTCTGTGTGTGTGTACACATAGGTATGCCACAGGACACTGGTGGAGGTCAAAGAACAAGTCTGTGAAGTAAGTTCACTATGTGAACTTTATGTGGGTTCTGGAGACAAACTTTAGCCTGCCGAACCATCTTGCCCTAGGTGCTCCTTCAAAAAAAGCAAGAGACTCTATAGTACTGCAGTTATAGCAGTTTTGTAAGATAAAAATTAATACTACTTTATAAAATTAGAAAAGTTAGCCTTTTTACTTTTAAATGTGTTTTAATTATATTTGTTCTTTTATAGTATGATACGGATTTTTATGTTCTTGATAAATACCCACTGGCTGTAAGACCTTTCTATACCATGCCTGACCCAAGAAATCCTGTAAGTAATTTCATCTCAAATCACCTGTTTGGGGGAAGGAAGGGAACTTTATAGTAATCACATTTGAATGTTGTAACAGAGTAGCCCTGAGAACTTACATTAAAACCATGTTCCTGGATCATTTTCTCTAAAGATGTATTTGGGGTGGGGGGTAATGATAAATAATACTAGATATGTAAACTTTAGCAAGTCAGTTATCTTCATTTTGACTTTTTAAACTGGTAGTTTTTATTGTGTTTTAGGAGTTAATAATCCAGGTAGCTTGTGGTTTACTGCTATTTTTCCATTACAGTGATTCCCAGATCTTAGTATGTACCTGAAGGGCTTTTTAAAACTCTACCCTTAAAGTTTCTGGTCATTGGTCTGGGGGAAGAATTTAGAAGTTAGCATTTGTAAGTTACCATTAATGCTGAAGGTACCAGTCTAGGAATCAGACCTTTTTTATTTGAAAGTTAAATACTATCAAATGGCTAATAGGAAGCAAGCAAGCATTGGTTAGTTGAGTTTCAATTGAACTTTCCTTAAAAGAAAAAAAAAATTGTTTTTGAGATAGGGTCTCTCTGTAGCCCCAACTGGCCTGGAACTTACTATGTAGACCAGGCTGGCCTCAAACTACCTGTGTCTGCCTCCCAAGTGCTGGGACTGAAAGGCATGTGCCACCATGCCCAGCAAAAGAATTTTTTTTTTTTTTTTTTTTTTTTTTTTTTTTTTTTTTTTTTTTTTTAAAAAAAGAGGACGATAAATCTTTCACTGTGATATATCAACCTGGCCTTGAACTCACAGAGATCCGCCTGCCTCTGCCTCCCGAGTGCTGGGATTAAAGGCATGCGCCACCACGCCCAGCTTAAAAGAAATTTTTTTAAATAAGTGTTCACTATGTAGCATTGGCTGTCCTTGAACTCAGAGATCTGCCTGCCTCTGCCCCCAGTGGTGGGATTAAAGGCTTGCATAACCACACCCAGCAATTAATTAATTCTTTTCTTAATTAAAAAGGCTACCTACTGATAATTTGAATTCTAAGTCTGACCAAAATCATGTCACATTTTAAAACTTTCTAAGAAATAAGGTAAAATAAAAATCAGCACCACTTCTTTAGATGTATGCTCTGAGAGATAAGGTAGAAGGAGAACAGAGTGTGATACAGGGAAGGAAGAGACTATTCAGCCCTGGCAGGTCTACCATAGAGAAAAATTATGTTCTTTGGAGGTTCTAGCATTAACTGTATGGAAAATGGACTTTCTCTTTGTACAACATAGATTTTCTCTCCACATGCTTAGAATGGAAAAAGTGTGATAGTGTAACACTTGAAGAACAGTGGTGCTTCATTTGGCAGGTTTTTTGTTGTTTCTGTTTTTTTCTCCAGAAACAGTCCAACTCGTATGATATGTTCATGAGAGGAGAAGAAATATTGTCTGGAGCTCAAAGAATACATGATCCTCAGCTGCTAACAGAGAGAGCCTTACATCATGGAATTGGTAAACAATTTTAAATATTTAGAACAATTCTGAAAACACATCATAAACATCATAGACTTCTCAGAAAATCATTTTTTCAAATCTTGATTACAGTAATTGCTTTTGTAATTTTTACACTAAATAAGGTGATAAATTATGTTTTGTTTTTGTAGATTTGGAAAAAATCAAAGCTTACATTGATTCCTTCCGCTTTGGAGCCCCTCCTCATGCTGGTGGAGGCATTGGTAATACTCTTACTGCTTACAAATCTATGAATGCTAAGTAAAATACAAATTAAAAGGGCATAGTGTTTTCCTTTCAGTGGTTGTAACAATTGATACATCATTATATGTAAAAGGATAAAATTAGACCTTTACCTAACTCCAGATAAAAAATTAAGCCAAAATTGGGCTGGAGAGATCAGGCAGCTCACAGCCACCTGTATTCCTATTTCAAGGGATCCTCCATTGCCTTCTGGATATGTGCGTATACCCATCCAGGCACACAACATACACATAAATAATAACAAATCTGGAAAAAAAAACCCAAAACACCAAAATGGATCAGAGGGTTAAATAAAAGCCTAACACTGTAAAACTCTTAGAAGAAAATGGGCAAAAGCATCAGAACATTGAATTTGGCAATGGTATCTTAGATGTGATGCGCATGTAACACATAGCACAATAGTCAAGTTGGGCTTAGGAAAAGTTTTAAATTCTGTGCATCAAGACAGTTATAACATGGTGTGGTGGTGCATGCCTTTAATCACAGGCAGCTCTTTGTGAGATCCAGGCCAGCCTGGTTTACATAGCGAGTTCCAGGCCATCTGGGGTTACGGAGAAACCCTGCCTCAAAAAATAAAAACAAAGGGCCTGGACAGGTGGCTCAACAGTTAGGCTGCTCTTACTGAGGACCTGGGTTCAATTCCCAGCACCCATATGGCGACTAACAGCTATCTGTCACTCCAGTTCCAAGTAATCTGACACCCTCTTTTGACCTCCTTAGGCACCTTCCTCAGGGTGCACCTACCTACATGCAGGCAATACACTCATACACATAAAATAATAAAATATTTTTAAAAATTAAAACAAGGGGCTGGAGAGATGGCTCAGCGGTTAAGAGCACTGACTGCTCTTGCAGAGAGGACCCGGGTTTGATTCTCAGCACCCACATGGTGGCTACAAACTATTCTTAACTCCAGTTCCAGGGGACTCCGAACCCCTCTTCTGACCTCCGGCATTGCACGGCACGGGTGTACTCATATACATGCATGCAATATACTCATACACATAAAATAAGTATAATAGAATAAAAAATATTTTTTTAAAAATTAAAACAAAAAGACAGTTATCTGCTTAGCACATACAAGGCCCTTGGTTTGCCCCCTATTACTTAAAAAAGAAATAGCTCAGTGTTTACTTTCTTTGGAACTCAATATGTAGACAGGGCTTGCCTGATCTCTGCCAAGTGATTAACCAGGTAATTAAAGGCTTGCACCACCACACCCAGTTTATTTCTTTACACAGACCCTGGGTTTGATTCCTAGTATCAACAAAAACAAAAAATGAAGGAAGGAAAACAAGAGTAAAAAGGCATTCTGTACAGTGGGAACAAATATCTGCAGGTCATATATCTGATCAAAGATGAATATCTACAATAAAAACAACTGAAGTTCAAAATGGGCAAAGGACTTGAGCAGACATTTCTCCAAAAGATGATGTACAAATGAACAGTGCGCACGTGAACAGATGCTCAACATCAGTCATCAGTGAAATACCACTTCACACATGCTAAGATAACTCCTACCTTTTTTTTTTTTTTTTGGTGTTTTTGAGACCAGGTCTCCCTGTAGCCCCAGCTGGCCTGGAACTTACTGTGTAGACCAGGCTGACCTTGAACTCATAGAGATCTGCCTGCCTCTGCCTCTTCTGAGTGCTGGGACTAAATGTGTGTGCCACTACGCCTGGCACTCCTCCCTTTTTAAAAAAGAAGTGTTGGGAGTGCTGCAGAGATGGCTCAGCAGTTAAGAACACTGAGTGTTCTTGAAGAAGACCCAGGTTCAAATCCCAGCACCCACATGGCAGCTAACAACTGTCCGTAACTCCAGTTCCAGGGGATCTGACAGCCTCTTCTGTCCTCTGTGGGCATTGCATGACACCGGTGCCCTTACCTACATGCAGTCATAACACTTATAAAATAAAAATAATAAAATATTTTTTTAAAGTGTTGGGAATGTAGTGAATTAATATGCCACCTTCCTTGGAAAACAAGGTGGTGGTTCCTCAAAAGGATGAAGAATTACCATATGAAATATATTTTGGTTATACCCAAAAGATAAAATTACAGTATGATCCAGGGGTTTAATTCTGTGTTCTTTGCCTGGGAGAATTGAAAAAGATAGGTTAAAGAAATACTTGCGTGCACATGTTCATAGTGGTATTCCCAGAGGCTGACACATGGAGCAGACAGGCAACTGTCACGGGTAAATGACTAAGCAGAATGTGGTACAAACTCAGGATCCCCTTGTCTGACATCTTCGGGACCAGAAGTATTTCAAACTTTGTAGTTCTTGGATTTTGGAATATTTTCATAGACTTTTACTGTTGAACATCCTTGAGTACTACATGATGCCCAAAGTTTCAGATTTTGGAGCATATTGACTGAATTGGTTTTGTTTTGTTTTTTGTCTTTTTGAGACAGGGTCTCCCTGTAGCCACAACTGGCTTGGAACTCATTGTGTAGCCCTGGCTGGCCTGCATCACACAGAGCTCCTCCTGCCTCTGCCTCCCAAGTCACGGGATTAAAGGCCTGTGCCACCACACCTGGCTCCATACTAAAATTTTTTAATAAAAATGTTTAACCTATATTGCTGGTCAAACTTACAAGGGAAGGAAATTCTGAAATGTGTTACAGCATGGATGAACCATGAAGACATTATGCCAAATCAAATAAAACTGTGGCAAAAGGGAAAATTTTGTGTGTATGATTCTACTTACATGAGGTATTTGAAAGTGGTTAGATTCAGAAACAAGAGAATAGGATGTAGATTGACTATGACTGGAGGAACAGAAAATGGAGAATTAATGTTTAACAGGTATAAAGTTTCAGCTTTATAAAATAAATGTTATGTTCTACCAAAAAACTATTAGTAGGTTTTCAGAAAAGGGATTAATTGTCTTTTCTTATCCACAGGGTTGGAACGGGTAACGATGCTGTTTTTGGGACTGCATAACGTGCGCCAGACCTCAATGTTCCCTCGTGATCCCAAGCGACTCACACCTTAAAGCCACACTTTTTAGTCTCTCCAGTAACCTGCTATTGATCAGGCTGTACCTGAGGTACTTAAAATATGCAATAGAAGTGCCCCAGTTATTTTTTAATTAATCCAGTATAAGTTAAGAAAAAACATTTTATAACTTAGATGTGCTTTGGTAGAAAGTGCTTGAACGTTTTAATGAGAATTTCCTATGATAAAATTCATGTTACAATTCATATTTCATTACTATGGTAAATATTAACAAGAATTTTAAACAGTTAAGATTGTGTAAATTTTTCTTTTTTATATTATGATGGTTACAGTATTAACATCTAAATTTTCAATATTTGAACTTTTTACTCTTGACGTTGAGATAAGAACAAATGGAGAAATACCCAGGATTTTAACATGTATGAAATTGATATGCCACGGGAAATTAAAGTGTCGGTTCTTAGAGAAATCACTTGAAATATGTGAGAACACTGGTTAGAAACAGAAATGCTGTGTGAAACTTAAATTCTGAAGCTGAATTTCAATAAAAACTTAAAGCTAATTATAGTTTGTGTGACGTTTTGCTGGTCTGATTTTATATAACTGGTCTTGGCATTTGTTTTGGTGGTTTTTTTGGTCTTTTTGAAACAGGGTCTCCCTGTAGCCCCAGCTGTCCTAGAACTCACTACGTAGACCAGGCTGGCTTTGAACTCACAGAGATCCCCCTGCTTCTGCCTCCCGAGTGCTGGGATTAAAGGCATGCGCCACCACACCCGGCCAGTTCTTGGCATTTGTACTTTGGGAAAATAAAAAGTGGACAACTGGTCTGGAGAGATGGCTTGGCAGTTGTGATCACTTGCTGCTCTTGCAGAGGACCCAGATTCAATTCCCAGCACTCACATAATGGCTAACAGCTGTCCAGAATTCCAGTTCCAGGTATCCCGTGCCCTCTTCTTCTGCAGGCAGTGCACTTACAGCCATGCAAGTAAAACACTCATACACATAAAAAAATTAAAAACATAATAAATGAAAAGAACCTTAAAATTAAAAAAAATTTTTTTTAAGTAGACAACTGGCCTTATGTAAATGTTTAACATAAAAACTGATACAAGCCGGGTGTGGTGGCGCACACCTGTAGTCCCAGCACTCCGGAGGCAGAGGCAGGTGGATCTCTGTGAGTTCAAGGCCAGCCTGGTCTACATTCCTATGATTCCAGCAATAGGGAGGTCCAGGCAGAACGGTCAAAAGATCATCCTCAGCTACATGAGACAAAAAGGGAAAAAAGGGACTGGAGAGACAGCTCAGCAGTTAAGAGCTCTTAAATCCAAGGACCAAAATTTATTTCCAGCATCCATGTTGAGTCGCTCACAACCACCTATAACTCCAGCTCCAGGGAATCTGGATGCCTCTAGCATCCATAGACACCTGCACTCACGTGCACATACGTGTGATCAGAAATAAATCTTTCTTTTTTTTTGGTCTTTTTGAGACAGGGTCTCCCAGTAGCACCAGCTGTCCTGGAACTCACTATGTAGACCAGGCTGGCCTTGAACTCACAGAGATCCACCTGTCTCTGCCTCCTGAGTGCTGGGATTAAAGGCATGCGCCACCACACCCGGGAGAAATAAATCTTTTTTAAAAGTGTTTGGTAGGGGCTGGAGAGATGGGTCAGCAGTTAAAAGCACTGGCTGCTCTTGCAGAGGACCCGGATTCGATTCCCAGCACCCACACGGCGACTAATAACTATCCGTAACTCCAGTCCCAGGGGATCTGACACCCACTTCTGACCTCCTCAGGTCATGTGGTAAAACCTATAAAAATAGGCACAAAATGTAAAGATCTCAGCATACATTAGTGCCAACAAGAGACTACCATAAAGAAGCTCTGGCAGACAGCTTGACTTGACCTGTCAGAACTTACCATGCTGGGCACAACTGCCAGGTGGTAGGTTCGAGACATGGGCCAACTTGAGATCTATTCACCACAGCTGAGCTAGTCACTCTCACTGCCCAATGTCCTGTTTGCCAGCAGCAGGAATTGATGCTGTGCCCCACTGTGACACTATGATGTCAGATACTTCCAACCTGGAAGGGGCAGCAATGCATCTCTGACTAGATACAACACCTTCTAGTTTTACGTAACACCTGATCTAGACAGTGTCCTAGGACTCATAAAAGTTGATGTGCCAACATGGAATCCTGCTCTGCAGCTCAGACCGAGCCCCACTTCACCACAGAGAAAACCCCTATGTGTGATTTCTCAAGCTTGACCATAGATGAATCCAAAGCTTCAGATCCTCCTGCCAACCATGCCCTTCATTCTTAAATCTCCATCTGAGGCAGGGGCAGCGTTTATATAGGGCTTCGTACATGCTGGGCAAACACTCTGCCAACTGGGCTACATCCACAGCCCCACCATGCCCATTTGTGATGATTAAATAGGAGATAATATATCTGGCATTTATAGCAAAAATTATTAAAGTGTGTCTACACAAAATATGGCTCTTGCTTCAAAGGCAGTAAGAGTTTCTTGGGGGCCAAATATGAGTGATCAAGACCTGGGAACATGGATTCTGGTTGCCAGAATAACATGCTCCATCGTGGAAGAGGTCTTATGAACAAAAGTCATAAATCAATGTATTTACCAAATACATTGGTGAGCATCAGCAGGCTATAGCAGAAGTAGCATAGAGCAGGAATTTTAGCAGTTTCAGGTACCGTCTGATGGCATTCTTAGTTTTAGAGCTGTGGAAGCCAGACATCTAACAGTACATTTTGAAAGTTTTACTTAGTAGTCACAAGGATCTTATCAAACATGGTGCTTTGCAGTAAATACCTATTAAAAGGGGGCAAAGGAAGGCCAGTGCAAGATGGCTCAGTGGTATCACTTAGCACTTGCAGCCAAACCTGATGACCTGAGTTCAGTCCCTGGGACCCACATGGTAGAAGTAAAGAACCAACTCCCACAAATTGTCCTCCACAGGTACCATCACACATGTGCATGTCCACCCACATACACACAAAATAATCATTTTAATATTTTTTCTTAATTTAAAGGACTAAAACAAGGTCATTCTGGCTGTTGACCTTCAACATCCAATCTTTCCACAGCTATGATGTTCTAAGTGCAGCGTGTGTCCATTCTTTGACATTGAGACAAAACAGGTAATCTCTAAGTTCACAACTGAGAACCAAGTAATTGAGCTACCAAAAATAAATCTCATACTATATTAAGTTTATGACTTTGTGTTGAGCCACATTCATACCTATCCTGGAGTGCATGTGGCCCACAGGCTAAAGGTTGGACATGCCTCTAAGTGAATCAGTCTGCTAAAGCTTTAATATAGCTGAAACTTCAGAGTTCTCTGAAGAGAAAGCAACATGAGTAAAAGAAAAGGTATGCAAAGGAGAGTCCAGAGGAGCCAAACACAAGATTCTCCCAGAGCCCTTTCTCTGAGTCTCCCAGAAGGCACTTCACTTTTGCCCTTTCTCTGAGTCTCCCAGAAGGCACTTCACTTCTTGTCCCAAACCCCTTTCCCTGAGTGTCATTGTGGTAGGAATCTCCCACAACAAAAAGGAATGCAACATGGTCTGTGTCTGTCATGGCCTTGTAGTACAGAACATCCAGTTAGATATGTGTGTTATCATATATGAGAGACAAACTGAACTGTAAAGGCAAACTAACAGGGTATAAAAGGCTGGGTCTTAGTTCCAGGGGATCCGACAGCCTCTTCTGACCTCCGCGGGCATTGCACAACACGGGTGCACTTACCTACATGCAGGTAATACACACATACACATAAAAATAATAAAATTGAAAAAAAAATGGCTGGATCTTTCTTTGGGGCTTTGTCTTTTGGGTATGAACCCAGAGAGCCAGGTGAAAATAAACTACTTACTGGAGAAAAGAAACACCTTGGTGTCTCGTCTCTCTCTGCATAGCACCTGTGACATCACAGGACTTCCTTCATGTCTCATAGCCCTTTCCCTGACTTTCCCACAAAGCATTTCACTCCCCACAGCCTTTTTCCTGGGTGTCATTCATTTCACTCCCCACAGTCCTTTGCCTCAGTCTCTCAGAATGCACTCAACTTCTCTCCAGCATTGAACAATGACAATGTGACCCAACCAAACCCATTTTGCCTGTAACCCAGCAGACCATTTCCCTAAAACAAATTTCATAGTTTATTCATGAGAGCCAAGGGAGATAGATGATGGAAGAGTCTTTTATATCTGCCTCCCTAAGTAGAGGGTTTAGGGATATTCATGGAATAGAGAGGCAGGTGGGCTAAGGTGTGGGAAAAGGCAGTTAGGGGTAAGGAAAAGAAGTAATTGGTGGTCTGTGCTTGCAGAATTAATCTTCATAGTGAACTGCCAAAGATGGCTCCATTTTGTTCTAGCTGACTATTTTTGCTTTGCCCTATATTTTGCCCAGCCACTCACCTCCCCCAACTACATCCTTCGAGACAGAATGCTCTAATCCAGCAGCACCTGCCTTCTAGGAAGTTTATTCTGTAATACTGGGAAACATTTTTGAGAAGACTGGTCTTTGTCTAACAGAAACGTTTTGTTGTCTGGCCTGTCCATGGTATGATGTAATTGTGGTTTCTGGCTTTACAAACCCGACCCTGCCTCTCCTTGGATTCAGCAGCTCTTGACTGCCAGCAATAAAGAACGCTTAATCCAACCATCACTGTGTGGCATTCTTCTGTGACTTGGGCTGGGTATAACAGTAACTCTTCATAAAGATGAAGAAAGGAAAAATGGGCAAGAAAAGAGACCGTATGTGTCTGGTGTGTGTGTGTGTGTGTGTACACGTGTGTGTGCACACGTGTGTGTAGGGCCAGAAGTTGATGTCAGGTGTCTTTCAATCCTTCACTTTTTGTTTGTTGTTGTTTTAGACAGTGTCTCCCTGGAACTCAGTATGTAGACCAGCCTGGCCTGCATCTCAGAGCCCCACCTGCCTCTGCCTCCCAAGTGCTGGAATTAAAGGCATGTGCCACCACACCTGGCTCTACCTTATTTTTTCAGACAGGGTCTCTTAGTGAACCTGAAGCAGCAAGCTTCAGAGATCCTCCTGTCTCTCCCTCTCCCCCAGCACTGGGGTTACAGATACATGCCACTGTACCCAGCTTTTTACATGGGTGCTGGGGATCTGAACTCAGGTCCTCATGCTTTCACAGCAAGCACTTTATCGACTGAGCCATCTCCTCTAGTCCTAAGAGTTAGCCCTTTTGAAAGAATGAAACAGAATCTGGTCAGCAAACTGCTTCAAGACACCTTTAAGGTCCATTCTTAGTGCACTAAGGTTGTAACTAAGTAGGAAACACTGCTGATCTCCAGGTCCTAAAATACAAGAGTAAAGGCATCATGTGGAACTGGTGAATGGCTGAGGGATGCAGGGCCTCAACAATTCCACATCTTAAGGTAATACCTTCAGTTGAAGATCTTTACAGTATAGGCCTTAATAATGTATGTTAAAATATTTACTTGAACAATCTGCCCACTTTAACATATTTAAATATCCTGTAAGCCTCAAAAACTGGAAGTGGTCCAGATTTATGTATCTTGGAGGCCCAGAAAAAAAAAAAGTACTGGTGAAACAGTTTGAAGTCATTAGCACCCAGGTTTTAACTAAAGTCAAAGAAGGACCTGGGTATATGGCTCAGTTGGTAGAGTTCTTGCCTAGCACACAGGAAACTTTAGATTCAGTCCCCAGCACCACACATGCTGGCTGTGATGGCGTAATAAGAAATTCAAGGTCATTTCCAGCTACATACCAAATTCAACGCTAGCCTGTGCTACATAAGACCCATATTTTGCATATTTTACTGGATCAGCAAGAACCTAAAGCTATGCCATCCCTGACTCTCACTGAGGCACTCTCCTGTGGTTGGTTTACATCTTATTTCTTTCATCCAGGCAGTTATGGAGGTTTAACTCATTTTTCCTTTCCACAAAGCCTTACTCTTACCAATACCAGTAAGACGAGTTAAAAAACATAAAAACAAGAAAAATTCTTTTAAAAATCCTCCCTTGGAGCCACTCCCAATCCCGGGAGTTCTTTCTCACTTTTCCTTAATATATCTACGTTCGCTCTGAAAAAAAAAAAAATAGAGAAAGAAAGGGGAAAAAAACCTGAAAAGCCACCAGGACGTGGGTCTGAACTCTTTTTTTTCCTATTGCGAAGTCAAAATAACCTTAGAACGGATGCCATAACACTACGCATGGGCAAAAGGCTTCCCCGGCTCTTCCAGTTTGGCGCGAAAATAGGCGCTCGACGGGCGGGACTCTAGGCGGAGCCTCTATTGATTGGTCAGGTTTGGCGCGAAATCCCCCAAATCTTGCGTCATGATTGGCTGGGCCGAGGGGTGGTGCTGGGCGGTGGCGCGCGCGAAGCGGCAGTGCGGAGGGAGGCCACGCGTGGAACTCGCGGTGGAGCGGCTTCTCTGCTCCGTGTTTTCTCAGCTGCGGGCTTCCCTCTGCGGGACATTTCCTCAGCAGCAGCCTCTCCTTAGCCGCACATCCCCTCGGCGGCGGCCATGGACCTTGCGGCGGCCGCGGAGCCCGGCGCCGGAAGCCAGCACTCGGAGGTGCGGGATGAGGTGGCCGAGAAGTGCCAGAAGCTGTTCCTAGACTTCCTGGAAGAGTGAGTGACGGCAGCGGGCCGGGAGGAACCTGGGGTTGCGCGAGCTCGGGGTACCAGGCCTGGCCGGACGAGAATCCAAAGCCACCTTGAGTACATTCTCCACTGGCGTGCTGCCCAGCGCCATGCTTTGCGCCTTTCTCGCGGCTTTTCTGAGACGGTCTTTTGTAGCCCGGGCTGTGTTCGAACTCGGTATCTAGCCAAAGATGACCTTGAACTTCGGATCCCCCTGCCTCTGTCTCCCGAGTGCTGGAGTGACGGCCGTGCTTCCCGGTGCCGGGTTTACGCGATGCAGTGGATGGAACACAGCCCTGCGCTGGTATTTTAGAGCTCACGTCAAGGCCGGTGGGGCCAGGGTTCGGAGAGCCTCCGTAATGTGGAACCTGGGCCTCGGAGAGGATGAGCGACCTGTTGGGCGGGGCCTGTAGGAGGTCTAGGGTGCAGGTACCGGCAGCCTGTGTTTGGGAGAGTTCTGGCAGGAACTTATGGGTTGGTATCTGCTCGGGCCAGTGAAACACCTAGCGTTCTGGGTGTCTCCCTCTACCCTCCTATTCCCCCTTTAGGGTTCTGTCCTCATAGCTTCACGTCCTTGGGTACACCCACCCATCAGGTTCATAGCAGTGCTCTCTTTAAACATGCACTCTATTGCCTCTAGATAGAATGCAAACACCTTGACATGTCTCATACAATTTTTTTGTTTTTTTTTAAATTATGTTTACTGTGTAACAAAAACATACTGTTTTAGCTCCACCCCTGCATGTACAGTTAAAAAGAGGTGTCTTCAAGAACAGCGGGCACCATCGTTAATGTTCAACACTCTCTTCACCCTTCCACACAAACTATCCATCAAAGAAGTGTGCCTTTAGCTTCTGACACTGAATTTGATGCTTACAGGCACCTCATATAAGTACTTGCCTTTTGTGCTTATTTTGCTAAGTGCTCAGCACATTGTAGTCAGAATTTTTTTTTTTTTCTTTTTCTTTTTGAGACAGGGTCTCTGTGTAGACCAGGCTGGCCTTGAACTCACAGAGATCTTCCTGCCTCTGCCTCCCGAGTGCTGGGATAAAGGCGTTGGCCGCCAAGCCCAGTGTAGAGTTATCTTTTTAAGGCTAGTAAAAATGCATTGTGTGTATATACTGACTGTATTTTGTTTATCCATTCATCTTTTGACTACTTAAATTATGCTATCTTATGAAATTCTGCTGTACCTAAAGCTATAATTTAATTTTTATTCTCCACTTTTGGGAGTATTTATCTTGGCAGTGTAGCTATTCATCCTTCACAACCCAACTAAAGACTTGTCTTGATGAAAGCCTATAAACCTTTCAGGCAACAAGCTGCAGCCCCATTGTATGCTTCCAGGAGAGGAGGCCTGCCATTTTCCAGATGTCTTTACCTGTCAGCTACTCTGCCCTTTAGCATACAACTCGTCACAAAGGTCTTTTGCAAAGTTTAGTTTCAGCAGGTAATTAAGGTCCCTTTATTTGGGAGAAACATGCTGGTGATATAGACAAGACAGTCTTGTACTTTGTTTTTAAAAGTCAACATCTGCTGGGCCTGGTAATGCCCACCTTTAATCCCAACACTTCCATGGGAGGCAGAGGCAGTTAGATCTCTGAATTCAAGGTCAGCCTGGTCTACATAGTTCCAGACTAGCTGGGGCTACCAAAAAAATTTAAAAGTCAGCATCTTTTTTTAGAACAGACTTTAGTTTACTTACAGAATAAAGTTCAAATTTTCATTTTCCAAAACCAGCATCAATTACCACAGATGATTTTACTGTGTTTGTTTAATGTGCTGGTTCTGGACACATGTTGGATGAGCATTCTACCACTGAGCTACATCCCCAGTCCTTTTCTGACATTTTTTTTTTTTTTTTGGTTTTTTTGAAGCAGGGTCTCCCTGTAGCCCCAACTGTCCTAGAACTCACTGTGTAGAACAGGCTGGCCTTGAACTCAGAGAGATCTGCCTGCCTCTGCCTCCCAAGTGCTAGGACTACAGGCGTGCACCACCACGCCAGGCCTTTTCTGACTTTTTATTTTGAGACAAGGTTCCCCTGCGTATTCTTGAACTTGCAGTTCTCCTCCTTTAGCCTCCCCAGTAGCAAGGATTGTAGGATTGACTTATTATGCTCAGCCACCTGTTTTTCTTAAATTTAACTTTTAATGACCTTCAAGAAAGAATTCCAATACCACCTTTTATATGTTTGAGTCTTTTCTGGATATTTTGTGGGCATAATGGGCTTATATTTCTTGAACTTATCACTAGGAACTTTTTTTCCCTCTATTTAGTGTGTCTTATTTTCTATGAATGCCAACCCCAGAGTGGGAACAACACTGTATTTCCAGAAGCTTTAGGTATCAGGTGTAATGCTTTGTATATAGATGCTGTTCAATAAATAAGAATCTGAACATGCTGTATTTGAAAGGGAAATTGGTTTTGCCAAATATAACCTTTACTTTTATTTGTGTGTTTCCATTTTCTTGAGGTCTTTGGCAGTGAAACCTCATTTCTGTCTCTGTTTTCTGCTTTTAAAAAAATTTTTTTTATGGTGCTAGAGATCAATCCCAAGGCTTTTGGCAGTGAAACCTCATTTCTGTCTCTGTTTTCTGCTTTAAAAAAATTTTTTATGGTGCTAGAGATCAATCCCAAGGCCTTGTGTATGCTAGGCAATCACTTTGGCAAGAACTCATTTTCTTATTTTTACTCTGACTTCATTATTTCTTCTAGGTGTTGATTAGAAAGTGTTAAATTAAGCCAGGCATGGTGGCGCACGCCTTTAATCCCAGCACTTGGGAGGCAGAGGCTGGCGGATCTTTGTGAGTTCGAGGCCAGCCTGGTCTACATAATGAGTTCCAGGACAGCTACAAGGAGACCCTGTCTCAAAAAAGACAAAAAAGAAAGAAAATGTTAAATTAGGAGGTTGAGATCAGGGCTGATGGGATGGCTCAGTGGGTTCTTGCTGCCAAGCCTGACAGCCCTAGTTAGATCTCCAGGACCTACATGATGGAATGAGAGAACTGACTTGTACAAGTTGTCCTCTGACCTCCACACATAAGTACTAGTACATGCACTCCTGCATTACACACACACAAACACACACACATACCATGAGACAGATAGGTGGATGGATGGATGTAAGAAATTGAGATTAGACTCCAAAGACTCAATTTTCCCAATATTCCAGGCATTTTACAAATCACAAGGTGTTGATTAGAAAGTGTTAAATTAAGCCAGGCATGGTGGCGCACGCCTTTAATCCCAGCACTTGGGAGGCAGAGGCTGGCGGATCTTTGTGAGTTCGAGGCCAGCCTGGTCTACATAATGAGTTCCAGGACAGCTACAAGGAGACCCTGTCTCAAAAAAGACAAAAAAGAAAGAAAATGTTAAATTAGGAGGTTGAGATCAGGGCTGATGGGATGGCTCAGTGGGTTCTTGCTGCCAAGCCTGACAGCCCTAGTTAGATCTCCAGGACCTACATGATGGAATGAGAGAACTGACTTGTACAAGTTGTCCTCTGACCTCCACACATAAGTACTAGTACATGCACTCCTGCATTACACACACACAAACACACACACATACCATGAGACAGATAGGTGGATGGATGGATGTAAGAAATTGAGATTAGACTCCAAAGACTCAATTTTCCCAATATTCCAGGCATTTTACAAATCACTTTAAAGGTACTCCCTCATTTAGGTGATGTCCTAATCTACTTTTTAAACAAAAGGTTTGAGGAGGTTAGTAACTTGCCCCCCACACACACCTCATGGAAATACTGAACATGGGCCTATCTGACACTAAAGCTGACACTCATTAAGCAATATACTGGATTATTGCGTATCCAGATTCTTATTTTTACTGCTTAAATTATTATGTTCATGTGCAGGTTCCAGGGCAGTGATGGAGAAATTAAGTACTTGCAGTTGGCAGAAGAGCTAATTCGTCCCGAGAGAAACACACTGGTTGTGAGTTTTGTAGACCTGGAACAATTTAACCAACAACTTTCTACCACAGTTCAAGAGGAGTTCTATAGGTAAGGGTGTATTCATCTTTGCTTTGAGCCTGGAAAGCCACTTTCCTAGCCCTGGATGTATTCCCTGTAAGGTAGACGGGCAACTGTCACAGTTACTTCCTTCTAAGGAGAGGCCCTTTAGTACTGTTCTAACCTTGATGTAGGCCTTTGTGAAGCTGAGTTGGTTTGGTTTGGCTTGGGGTTTGGGGGAGGTTGGTTTGGGGGAGGTCCTGTCAAATGCAAACATTTAGTTCTGTTGCTTTCTCCCTTGTTTAACCTATTCCATCTCACTCCTGTAATATATACTTGGAGAAAGTGTCTGGTAAGTCCTGGTTTTTCATCCAGGATATTTCTTTTTGAGCCAGGGTCTGAATTTTTCTAATTATGAAAGTAATGTGTGTCTTTTATCTTTTTACATTTGGGGGTTGGTGGGGAATGCCACAGTGCACTTGGGGAAGTCTGAACAACTTGCAGGAGTCAATTCTTGCTTTCTACCATGTGGGTCCTAGGGATCAAATGCAGATCTTCAGGTTTGGTAGAAAGCACTCCTACCCACTAAGCCATGTTGTACGTGTATGAGTGCATCCCTGCATGTATATAAGTGCACCTATGTCCTGCAGTACATGCAAAAGTCAGAAGAGGATGTCTGATTCCCCTTGAACTGGAGTTGCAGGTGGTTGTTAGCTACCATGTGGGTGCTGGGAATTGAACCCAGGTCCTTAGCAAGAGCAGCCGGTGCTCTTAACCACTGCCATCTCTCCAGTCCCTACATTTTAATGTCTTCTGTGTGTATATAATTTTGGGGAATCATACTGTAAATAAGGCATCCTACCCTATTTTACTTAGTACTATATTTTTCCATATGAAATTCCTTAAAAGCATTTCAATAGCTTGGATATTTTAGGGTTAAAATTAACTTCAGCTCATTTTGTTTTTAATTATATATGATAAGAAACAACTTTGTTTACAAATATTTTATCACATTTGAACTAAAAAATAAGATTATCTGTATAAATACTGATGTTGTGAACAGTTAAATAAGAGAAATGAAGACTCAGGGATCAGAAGACATGGTCCTATTTTCCTGATAGATTGAGAGATGGAGGCTCTTTGAAATTTCTAGTCATAGTTTACCTTCAAAAACAGTTGGATGGTAGCCAGGGAGATGACTTATTAGTTAAAGTGCTTGCTGCACAAATGTGAAGACCAGAGTTAAGACACCCAACACCCACATAAAAGAAGCTAGGTATTGCAATGCCCAAAAGTAGAGACAGATTGATTTTAGGGGCTTACAGACTACCCAATCAATGAGGGGCCCTGCCTTACCCCCCCAAAAAAGCTGGGTGTGGTGATGCCCACCTTTATTTAATCCCAGCACTTAGGGGGCAGAGGCAAATGAATCTGTGAGTTCAAGGCTGACCTGATTTTCATAGCAAGTTCCAAGCCAGCCAGAGCTTGGAGAATAGTAAGACCCTGTCTCCAAAAAACAGAAAAATAAAATTTATATGTAGTTGGAGAGATGAACAGCAGAGTTTTTGAAAGTAAGGAAAGGAAAATGTATACTAATACTTAACCTACCATATGGGAGGTCTGCTTTACTAAACTGTAAACAATCCAGAATGAGTGCTAAATGAATCAGGGTTCTCCATACTTACAGCACTTGGTCTTTGGTGTTTCTATTTGTGGTGAGATAGTGGATGACTAAAAGAGGCTCCTAAACCCAAACCAGGTAATAGAAGTATCTTCACAGTTAAGTTTTAAAGCTTTGATTGTGGCCAGATAGAATTCTCACTGTTGGAAGTATGAAGAAAAGAAAAAGAAGAAAAAAAAAAAAAAAGACAGTCTTGGTAGGAGTGAAGTGTCACACTAGTCATTTTTGTTTGTTTTTCAGAGTCTACCCTTATCTGTGTCGAGCCTTGAAGACCTTTGTCAAAGACCGAAAAGAGATCCCTTTTGCCAAGGATTTTTATGTTGCATTTCAAGACCTACCCACTAGACATAAGTAAGAAAGGAACCTCTTTGAAGAAAAAAGATCTTTCAATAGTACTGGTACTACTTATAAGCATTCAGAAAACAGGTTTCCCAGATCTGCCAGTAGCTGGCTATATGGTATCATACAAACCACTCTGCTAGGTCTCAATTTTCTTTTCTTTTTTTATATATTTTATGTGTATGAGTATATTTCCTGCATGCTGTAACAGTGCACCCATGTCATGCAATGCCCTTGGAGGTCAGAAGAGAACATTGAATTCCCCTGGAACTGGAGTTATAGATGGCTGTGCCATGTGGGTCCTGGGATTTGAACCCAGGTCTTCTGCAAGGGCAGCTAGTGCTCTTAACTGCTGAGCCATCTCTCCAACCCCAGGTCTCAATTTTCTCATCTATAATGCCTTTTGACTTAGATTTTCTACCTAAATCATGTAAAAGGTAGATTCGTTGCTATGAAATTTGTTTTGCTTGGTAGTGACAAGAATAGTAAGAACACTTAAAAATTGATGGTGGGGAGGTTGAGGGCTATTTAAAGGCTGAGTCTTAACTGTGTAGCTTAGGCTGGCCTCAAACTTGGAATTGTCCTTCCTCCCGGCTAAGATTAACATTTTGAAAAGTCATATCTATTACCCAGAAAGTTTAGTTTGAGAGAAACCTGTTTTTCATTGGAGATGGGATTGGTAGTATGGTGTGAAGCAGATGCTCAATGTTGTCATTTTAGATCCCCTTTTGGCAGTGGAGGTAGAGCAGAAGATTGATGGCAGGAGTGTGAAAAATGAAAACAGCTCTGTAGGAATTTCATGAATCAGGCCTGGAGTGGGTGGCACACACCTTTAATCCCAGAAGAGGCCCTAAGTTCAACCCCTAGCACTGAAGAAGGAAAAAACATGGGAATGGATACTATTAATGTGACACTTATATTTAAACAGGATTCGAGAGCTCACCTCGTCCAGGATTGGGCTGCTCACCCGCATCAGTGGGCAGGTGGTACGCACTCACCCAGTTCACCCTGAACTTGTGAGTGGAACTTTCCTATGCCTAGACTGTCAGACAGTGATCAGAGATGTAGAACAGCAGTTCAAATACACACAGCCAAACATCTGCCGAAATCCAGTGTGCGCCAACAGGAGGAGGTTCCTGCTGGACACGAATAAATCGAGATTTGTTGATTTTCAAAAGGTATTTACTTCCATTTAGATCACTTTCATATACATAGAAAATACACGCACTGTATAAATTAGGTGAGGTTCACTGCTAAAAATTCATTTTTTGGCCCTTAGAATACCTAAATGAGGTATCAAACTCACTTTGTAAAAATTAATTTGAAGTTTTTTCCCCTTCCAATGTTATTTTATGCCTTATCTTCATGTCTTTATTCCTGAAAGTGCTCTGTTTTGGGGGTGGGGAAAATGGCTATTTCAGTAGAGCTGGTGACATGATTAACAGGAATATAGTAGGATGTTCTCTGAGACAGAAGTGTTCCTCAGGCTGGGAATGTGGCTCAGTTTATAGAGTACCTGCACAAAGGTGTTTATCCCTATCACCCCATAAACTGGTTGTGTTGGTGCACACCTGTAATCCCAATACTCAGGAGGATCAGAAATTAAATGTCAATCCTTGGCTATATGGTTTGAGGCCAGGCTGAGGCTGGGCTGCATGAGACCCCATCTCAAAAGAGAAAGTGTCCCTGGAAATGTCCACACTGCTTTGCTCTTAGGCAGTGTATTGGGTACTTTTATGTTGCTGTGATAAAACGTCATGACCAAAAGTGTTTGCTGAGGGGAAAGAAGCTATTTTGGCTCACAGTTCCAGAGAAAAGTTCTTAATTTGGGGGGAGGCATAGCATCAGGAAGCTGGTTGGTTACATTTCCATGCTCATGCAGGAAACAGTGAACTGGAAACGGAGTGAGACTGTAAACCTTTAAAGTCTACCCTTAGTGATATGTTTCCTCTAGCAAGGCTGCCTCTCCTCATAACCTCCCCAAGCAGTGCCACCAACTAGGAACCAGGTATTCATATACCTGAGCCTATGGGGGACATTTCTCATTCAAACCACAGAAAGGAAACACTCACTGATAGTACCCTTAAATATAGTTGAATTGCCTTTATTTTTAGAGATAAATGTTAAAATAGTTAAATGTCAGGTTTCTTGATGTTCACAACTTTCAAATATTATAATAAAGAAAGCATTTGTTGGGTTGGCAAGATGGTTCAGCAGCTAAAGGTGCCTGCCTGAGTTCAGTCCAATCCCTGGGACCCACATGGTGAAAGGAGAGAACCAATTCTGGGCGGGGGGGGGGTCTTTTTCGAGATAGGGTCTCCCGGTAGCTCCAGCTGGCCAGGAACTCACTATGTAGACCAGGCTGGCCTCAAACTTACAAAGATCCTCCTGCCTCTACCTCCCACGTGCTGGGATTAAAGATGTGCGCCGCCATGCCCGGCTGAGAGAACCAATTCTTAAAAGTTGTCCTTTGATCTGCACACACACAAAGTAAATGTAAGTAAGAATTTTTTTTTAATGCATTTGTTATGTGAGTAATGTTAATAGTGGGTTAAGGTAGAGGGTATGAAAGTTTGTTAAACAATTCCTTTGAAAAGTTTAAGGAGGGGTTGGAGAGATTGCTCAACTGTTTAGAGCACTGGCTTCTCTTGCAGAGGACCTGGGTTCAGTTCCCAGTGCTGAACTAAGAACCATCTATAACTTCAATTTCAAGGGATCCAGTGTTCTCTTCTGGCCTCAGAACATTGCATGCACATGGTGCGCTTACATACATGTAAGCAAAACACAATATACACAAAATTTGAAAGTTTGAAAATGCAACACAGATCAAATGTTTATATGGTCATTTTGAGAATAGGGACTCTTTTTAGGTACAGGGTATCATTTTTGGGGAATTTGACTTAGAGTTTGATTTGAGGCAGGTTCTTGTGTAGCCCAGACTGGCCTTGAACTGTGTTACTAAGGAGGACACTGTGCTCCTGATCCTCTTGCCTCTACCTCTCAAGGGCTAGGATTACAGGCCTGTGCTACCACACCCAACTAAAAATGAAATTTTTGTGGATGTATTCTCTCAACCAATTAAACTATTTGACTAAAAGAAATTTTAGGGTACTTTTTTTTAAATCTGTATAAGTGTTTTGCCTCCATGTATGTAAGTGTACTGTGTATGTACAATGCCCACAGAGGCCAGAAGAGAGCATTGGATCCCCTAGAACTGGAGTTATGGGTGGTTGTTAGCTAAACCCAGGACCTTTGCAAGAGCAGACAGTGCTCTTAACCACTGAGCCATTTCTCCAGCTTCCGGGGCACAAGTTTTTTGTTTTTTTTAATATTTTATTCATTATTGTTATTTATGTGTATGAGTGTATTGCCTGCATGTATGTAAGGGCGCCCATGTCGTGGAATGCTTGCCAAGGTCAGAAGAAGGCAACAGATACTCTGAAACTGAAGTTACAGACCATTGTTAGCCACCATGTGGGTGCTGGGATTCGAATTCAGGCCCTCTGCAAGAGCAGTCAGTGCTCCTAACTGCTGAGCCACCTTCCAACCCCAGGGGCACAAAATTTTTAAGGTGAACTTTAGCATATGTCAGTAAGTCAATGGGGCAGTGGCTGGGGAAATGGTTTAGTCTGTGATGTGTTTTTGCTGTGTAAACGTAAGGACTCAAGTTTGATCCCTAGCACCTGTATGAAAAGCCTAGTGTGTTGGTGTATACTTATAATCTCTGGGCAGAAGAGGCAGAGACAGGCAGATCCCTAAGGTTGGTTGACCATACTAGCAACACCACGGGCAGTGAGAAACATGTCTTAAAAATAATATGGATGGTGCCTGAGGAAAGACACCTGAAGTTGGCCTGTGGCCCCCTTCTTGTGCACACATGCATCCACATTCAAACACACAACAAAGGGGATAAAAATGACTAAGGGGTCAGGTTGGGATATGTTGGTATTTTAGAATTTGATTTTGCTTGCATGCATTTAAGGGTTCTGTTCACATTCTTGGTTGTAGGTTCGTATTCAAGAGACTCAAGCAGAGCTTCCTAGAGGAAGTATCCCCCGAAGTTTAGAAGTCATCCTGAGAGCGGAAGCTGTAGAGTCAGCCCAAGCCGGTGACAAGTGTGACTTCACAGGGACACTAATTGTTGTGCCTGATGTCTCCAAGCTTAGCACACCAGGTCAGTAATTCATGGCTCAAATTTAACCACTCTTCGTCGCCTGTGCCGCAGGATATCTGGCTTCTCACATCTTTCTTGTCATCCTTCACGCTACCAAGCAGAGTGAGCAAGGAAGTATGAAGAATTTAAAAATCATATTGTTACAGAAGGTGCTGTTTCAGCTTTGACTTAGTCAAGCATATTGATTCTCAGCACCTTTACTATTTGAGCTCTGGAACAACTCATCTTTTATTCTTCCAGGAGCACGTGCAGAGACTAACTCTAGAGTCAGTGGAGTTGATGGATATGAGACGGAAGGCATTCGAGGACTCCGGGCACTTGGGGTCAGAGACCTGTCGTACAGACTAGTCTTTCTTGCCTGTTGTGTTGCGCCAACCAATCCAAGGGTGAGTCTTTACTTTTATTTATTTGTTGTGTTGGGGAACAAACACAGGGCCTTGTGCATGGTAGGAAGATAGGGAGCTACATCCCTAATCCTAATGGTGATATTAAATAAGACGGCAGAGCTTGGTAAAGCCCTTCACCTTCACTAAGGCTCATTTTTTTCTTCATGTCAGTGACAAACATTCTGCTATAGCTCATAGAGTGCTATCAAACCATATACTAGTTTTTGCCCTCTGTACAAATGAAAAGCTCTTATTCATCTTTATTAGGAGTTTTAACTATAGGCAATAAATCATGCTCTTGACCTCCCCAGCTGTTTTGTTTGTAGTGGTTTCTTCTCTTTCACATTATCTTTGTTTTGTTTTGTCTTTTCTCCACCTCAGTTTGGAGGGAAAGAGCTCAGAGATGAGGAACAGACAGCTGAGAGCATTAAGAACCAAATGACAGTAAAGGAGTGGGAAAAAGTCTTTGAAATGAGTCAAGACAAAAACCTGTATCACAATCTCTGTACCAGCCTCTTCCCTACCATACACGGTAAGAGTTCTATTTGTGACATAAACTTGAAATTGGTAGCATTTCACTGGGTGGTGTTGGCTTGGGGACTTCCATGACAAGGTGCAAGTTGAGATGTCAGCAGAGGCTGAGCACTCAAAAGGCAGACTGGGACTGGAGCAACTGCTTACTCCAGTACTCGGATGACTTAGCAGTTAGTGCTAGTGGCTAATTGGAAGCTTTGATTCTGTACCGTGGGTCTACCCAGTAGATAGGTCTTCAAAGAGCAAAGCAGTGAGGAGGCAAAGAACAATCAGCGGGAAGAGAGTTAGGTTCCCCTCTCTTTCTCTTTTTCTCACTCTTTCATTATAGATCAGGCTGGCCTTGAACTCACAGAGCTCTGCCTGCCTCTGCCTCCCAAGTGCTGGGACTAAAGGCGTGCACCACCACACCCAGCTAACTTTCTTGGGGTTTTTTGTGGGGTTTTTTTTTTTTTTTTTTTTTTTTTTTTATTTTTTTTGAGAAAGGGTCCCCCTATAGCCCCACCCACCTGGAA